TTGAATTTGAGTTTGGTATTGGTTAAGATGCTTAGTGCTTCACTAGAATTGCTCATTGTTCCATTTACTAGTTGTTCTTGGTTCAATTTGATTGATTAGCATCCTTTCCAGCTCTTAATACTTGAATTAGGTTCGGTTATACTCTGTTTTCACCTAGCTCGATCGAGTTTGTCACTCGAGTTTTTTGACTCGATCGAGCTGAGTGTCGAGTTGACCAAACCGATCATTACAACTCTAATTCTTTGTAATCTTTGATGCATTTCAGGTACTTTAGTGAAGAAACAGTGTAACAAGATGACAAACAGTGAGGGAAGTCGCGCTTCACAGAGGAGAATGGTTGAGGGTGAATCAAGCAATGCAAGGGAGAGAAGGCTTAAGATGCAAGCCGATTTGGAGGATGATCAAGGATGGAAGAGTCTGATGCAGAGGAGTATGTGTACTCTGAGGAAGAGTCTGAGAGTGAGAGATTGAGGGAGGAGAGGAGACCAAGAAGAGGAATGACCCCATTAGTAGTGAGAGTGAGCAAGGGGAGTTTGAGATTGGAGTGAACCTTGTTCAAGAGGAGGGAAATGGCTCTCCAAGTGAAGAAGGAGTGATGAGACTGAGAGTGAAGAGGAAGGAGAAGAGGTGAATCAATTGGTTGATGAGAGTGAGCAAGAGAGTAACCAAGATGAACCTATGGAGGAGGTTGAGCCACAAGAGGAGGAGAAGAACTCCCTATGTACCAAGAGCACTACAATGCTCTCTTCTCCATGGACTTTGTGGAGACCAAGTACCCACATGTTGACACAATGAAGGCCCTTGGAATCTTTGAGGATGTGGAGCTAGTTCTCAAGAACATGCACTTGGCCAAGTTTTCTCTTATCACATGGAATCCTACAAGGAGCTCACTTGCGAGTTCTTTGGCTTCAATGAGGTACCACATGTACGATGAGGAAGATAGAGCTGATTTGGACCAAGGATTGGGATGGATCACGTTCTTGGCTAAGGGAGAGAAGAGAATGGTGACCTTTAGGCAGTTGGAGATCTTGTTTGGGTTCAACTATGGAGAAGGTACCAAGTGGAACTTCAAGGAAGAAGGAACTCCAAAGGGTTTGGGCTACAATCGCTGATGGGTACTCTTCCTCAAGGTCCAAGGCAGCTCAAATCAGGAGCCCAGTGCTTGAGGTATGTGCACAAGGCACTTGCCAACACCTTCTTTGCAAGGAAGGCACCGGACAATCAACGAGGGGGAACTCAAGCTTCTTGACATGGGAATCAAGCCCATCTCTCACGCACAAGCGATGGCAAGAGGATCAGGGGAGATAGATCCACACAGGGAACTTGATGCCTTTCCTTGACATCTCCTCACCTACAAGACCACGCCTACAACACTAGACATCAACAAGGAAGAGCTAAGTGTTGGAGGGCTCATCACTCCTATCTTGTGTGCTGCTGGAGTGAACCCAACTGATAAGAGAAGCCACTGAACCAGGTTGGATGGACATCAAGTTTTGCAAGAAACCTCCTTCATTGAGACCACAAGGAAGTGATGGGAGGTTCCAATTCAAGTTCACACATCCATTGGTTGGACCCTCCAAGTTCTCCTGCCCAACCCAGAGCTCACCACAGTAGTAAGGGGTGAGAACATTGACTTCAGACCCCCTGTGTACACATTAGTTGGGCATGAGGAGATTTGCGAGAAGAGGAGCCTGAGCTCGATCGAGCTGAGGATCGAGCTGAGATCAGCTGAAGATCAGTCCAGGAGATGCGGATTTGGGTGAGCCTGAGTGCTATTACTTTGAGGAGTATGAGGCTCCAAGGATGAACCCCTCTGTTGTGGCTGCCACAAGAGGATTGGACTTCTCCAAAAGTTCAACAAATGGCAAGGGAAAGCCATTGAGAAGATGCAAAAGTCCATGGACAAGATGGTGAGCAAGATCAAAAGTTTGGAGAAGAAGGTTTCTGGTTCTTCAAGCAAGAAGAAGAAGTCAAGGCCCCCACATTCCTTAGGAGTAGATCTCTCCTCACCACTCCAAGGAGGCTCCCTGCCCAAGAGCCTCACATTTCTTTCGAGCCAAGGGAAGGAGAAGACAACACGCAGAGAAGGAGGAAGAGTTCCAAGGCCAGACGCTCCAGCTCGACCACCGGACTCGATCGAGTCCAAACAGAGGAAACTCAACTCGATCGAGCTGAGGTCGAGTTGACCTGGAGGAGCCCCTGTTTGAGAACCCTGGATTCGAGTACGATCCAACGCCTACCAGGACTTCTCCCAGAGTAGATGGACCCCTATGGACAGTTCGAGCAAGCCAGCTCCACCAAGGCCAAGGGAGCCACACACACTTCAATGAAGAAGAGGAAGAAGAGGAGCCGCAAGCTCGATCGAGTGAGCCGGAACCCCGAGTGGAGCGTCCTGATGGCCGTCTCCCTCTCCAGACCACGACCTTGCCTCCCAGTTCTTTGGGGGGCACTGAGGTATCCAAACACCAACCCTTGTATATACCATTTCATATTTTCTTGCATTTGTGTTTTTCTTGGTTTTGCCCTCTTGAATCTTTCACTAAATTTCTCTCACACAAGGGACTGTGTGATTTAAGTTTGGGGGAGGGTTCAAGAGATGATTTAACCTTGTTTTCTTTGTTCTTAGTTTTTCATTTCTTTTGCATAGAAAAACCAAAAAAATCATAAAATTTTCAAAAAATCCAAAAATATTTTCATCTTTTTGCATTCATATTTCTTAGACTTGTTTAGGATTGCATTTTCACTTGCATTGTTGATTTGACTTTGAAAACTTGTTCATCTTTGCGATTTCTTGAGTGCCCTGTTTTTAGATTCTCTTGTGCATTAGGGTGAGATTGATTGAGCAGCAAGAACCATGTTTATCTTGATCATATCACTGCATGCACATCTCATTCAACCATTGCTGTGATTTGATGCATTTCCCTATCTATTTGAACCATAACTTGATCTTTAATTACCAATGCTTGCATTTGATTTCAACTCATGGCTACCACATACATATCTGGACATTCTTTACCTATTTTCATATCCCTTTGCTTGTCCAGATAGCTGATCTCTATCTTTGAGACAGTTACCACACCTTAAACCTAAGCCTTTTCATTTCAAACCCCATTTTATCTCTTGTGCGAATGTGAGAACCTTTCTTGGCTTTGCTTAGCATAAGGTGTTGTGTTTAAACCGGCAGGGGCAGTAGTTCTAGTTGTCTAGTTCTCTTGGGATTGTTTTCAGGCTAAGTTTGGGGGTGCCAACTCGAGCTCGATCGAGTTGGGTGTAAAAACCAGAAAAGTGGTAAAAGTTGGGAAAATCCAAAGGAAAAAGAGTTTAGTTAAGTCCAGGGAGTTGGCAGTTAAAAAGGGTCTAGTAAAGGTTTGGGAAGTTAAAAAAGGAAGTAAAAAGGGTTCTCAAGTCAAAAAGTTCCCTAAGTGTTTAGAAAATCCCAAACCGCTAGATGTTACCTCAAGAAGCCTCTCCCTAGGAAGTTCTTAAAAGAAAAGTGAGCAAAGCTCCTCAGTTTCAAAGGCGAAATGCCAAAAAGGGTAGTTAGGATTTTGTTCTAAAAAGCTCTAAGTGTTGAACTCGATCGAGTTAGGATTAGACGGCTCGAGCTGCTGTTCTTGCATCATCTTTGGTTCTAACACTTAGCCTTCTGCCAAAGCAAAGCCACTTTCTTGAGAGATCCCTGTTACTAAACCACCATACAAAAGAGACCCTCTTTGTCTCTTAACCCATAAACCCTTGAAACCAAATGAGTTGATTGATCTTGCATGTTTTTGGTTCACTGTTTTTGCTTAATGAATGTTAAAGGGATTTGCTGATTTGAATGCATTGTTTGAGTGACTGTGAAGTGGGATTGATGTTGATAAGCATGGTTAAATCTTAATGAATATCTCTCACCTTGTTGCATTCTAGAATCTCTAAGTTGGACATTTAGCAAATCGCTTTTGAGGACATGTTTTTAAGTGTTGAATCAACTTGTTTTCAAACCTCATCTCTTTCTTGTTCTATTTGTTTGCTTGAGGGCAAGCAAAGGTCAAGTTTGGGGGTGTTGATGTACTTGCATTTTACATAGTTTTAGTACATCTTTTATGCATCTTTTGCATAGTTTTAGCATCCATTAGCATCATATCTTGTTCCTTTTCTCTTCTTATGCATTCATAGTAGTTTTAGGTTGCATTTGCATACATATGCATGTTTGGTCCTTTGAAATAGGTCTTTTGGAGCATTCTGGAGCATATGGGACGTGAGGAGCATGGAAGGACTTGGTGCATGGACGCAGCTCAACTGGATACGCAAAGGAAGAAGGAGGAAGCCATCTTGAAGACCAGCTCGACCCTACCTCGACTACTCGACCGGCCAAGCTTCAACTCGATCGAGCTGAGAAGTCAAAGTCAAACCCGAAAAATGTTGCTTCCCCCTTGACTTTCCTTTGACCCTAAACCTAAATCCTCTTGTATTTAAAGGCTAAAAGCCACGAAAAAACCACCAAGCTTTAGATTACTTTTTGTTTTAGTTTCTTTTAATTATTGTCTTTTACTTTTTAGAGCTCTAATCCCATCTTTGTGTTCTTGAAGCTCTTGCTTCTTGAATCCTAGATCCTGGATAATCTCTTTTGTATTTGCACTTGCTTATTTCAATAAAAGTTGTTTATTTATCTCCTCTTTCTTTGATGTTCTATTTATTGCATTTGCTTGTGTTTACATTCATGTGTAGTGAGTAGTTACCCATTAGGGTTTGAGATGGGATAGATTAGGGGTTTCATATGCTTAATCCTTCTTGCTTATGGTCTTAATCTAGATTCTCTCTCTTTTGGATAAATCTTAAGGCTACATGACCACTACCCCTGGCTTGTATGTCATTAGGCGATTCTCCACATGGAAGTGATGGAAATCGCTGGAAAAATCCACTAAGAGCTCCAATAACTCTTGCTCTCGAAATGGAGTTCATAGGGGTTGGATGGATTAGTTTGGGCAATGATCCTATGGCCTCCAAGGCTTGATTCTCACTGGCTAACCCCCTGTTTCTGAGATCATTCCTTGGTTGATAGCTTTCACCTTGGGAAAGGGTTAGCTAGGCATTGAGAAGCCAATATCAAGAGAACCTTGATACAAGGAGTTTTAAGAGCAAGATCGATTAAGTGTAGCTTCCTCTGATTGAAAACCCTGTCTTGAACCCTAATTCTCGCATTAGCTTGTTAAAGTCGCTGCCTTTATTGCTTTTTACTTCAACTCGACCCTAAACTCGATCGAGCTCGGTACTCTGTTCCACTCGACTCGAGTCCTTGGTCGAGCTGTGCTCTACTGCTTTTATTTACTTACTGCATTTGCATTTCATTTGTTTCATTTAGGTTGTTAGTGTTACCCCTATCTATTACTGCTTGCTTGACTTCCTTGTATTTCATATTCTCATAGAGTGACAACTTCTCCCATTTTGGATTGATACCCTTTATGCTATAACAACTATCATGGTTAAAGGGAATTGTTGACTGTGTTTGTGTTTGCATCTTACCACCTCATCATATACCACTGTTGCATTCCACCACATCTCATTTCATATCTTTCACACCCACACACAAATCATATCATCACTAATTTATGTGATCGATCATCAAGCATACATGAATGCCATCCTTTGACTTTCTACCACTTAACAAGTAAACTACTCAGACATAGAGAAGGAAAACGAATTCATATTCATAAGAACAGAGATTCGAATCCTCTCTTTGAAAGAGCACGAACAAGGCTAAAATTTGTGGTCTCTCTCCTTCTTGAGTTACAAGGCTAAAAAGAAGTATTTATAATGCTCTAAGTATGAAAAAGCGGCTAGACCTAGATCTAGTAAGTCGGCCATGTAGTTGGGCTTGAAACGTGTGAAATGGGCTTCAAAAACGGCTTTGGGTTGACCGGACCGTTCGGACGGTCAGTCGGGACGATCGGCCGGCTATCGGGTCATGGTCGGCTATCGGCACGGTCGGAACGATCGTGGCCGAGATTTTTGGCGTTCGGCCGTCGTGGTCGGCCGGATGGATGGATTGGCCGAAGGTTTCAGGCCGGACGTGGGATGAGGCCTTCCTGGTCGGACACCGCGATCGGCCGCGGTATATGAGTTGTGCCGCACGGCCGCGGTATATGAGTTGTGCCGCACGGCCGCGAGGCGTTGCTTCCCTGCTCGCGCGGTGCGGTCGTGCGCGACATTGGCTGTGTGGTTCTGATCTGGATGACCGCGGGACGTTGCTTCCCGGGTCGGTACGTGGGCTCGGCCGTGGTTCAAACGGGACGGACAATGTTCGGACGTTGGCCGACCGTGGGATGTGCATTCCTCGGCCGGCCGTTCTGCACGGCTTGGCCGCGGTTTCTTGATAGAGCCACCTGGACCAGTCTTTGCTATGTTGGCCATAACTCCTTTTCTACTCATCCAAATGATGCAGAGCACGCGGGGAACTGGTGTTGGTGAAATCCATTGAGTAGATCTTTTTTTAGCTCCTCACAAAGTTGATGTTGTGGCATTGGACTGGTTTGAAGTCCAAATCCTCTGTTTTGCTCCATAATGCACCTTTTGACCTAAAGTTACTCTTTGCAGTATAAATCCATAAAAACTACCTTTTAAGACAAGAATCCACTAGAAAACCATTAGAAAACTATAGTAAAATAGTATAAAAAGCATGTAAAATAGAGGTATATCAACTACCCAGACTTAGATCTTTGCTTGTCCTCAAGCAAATCAAATCTAAACTAGTGAAGAGGTTTTGAAAACACGAAAACTCACTTATCTTTTGGAACTTGTATCCCCATTGCTCTGCTCTCTTTGGGACTAACCAACTTTGAACTGGCATCACGTACTGACCTTGAGTTTGGCGAACCATACCGGGACCCAACAAATCTCATCAAGTATTCCAAACTCTCTATTGCTAACTCCTTGTAGTATTTGAAAGTGTGTGGTCTTTATCAAGGGAGTATTGATCACAGAGCATTGATTCTTACCCATCCAAGTCTTTGCCAAGATAGTCTTTCTTGCTCATTCATTGAAGAACCGATTTCTCCCTACTTTTCTAGGGTATCATTTTATTTTTTCTATCGATTCTCCTTCCCTTAAGATTTCTCTTTGTGGGATACATGGATTGGCATTGAGCTTCCCCTTGTGTATAAGGTATTCCATAAGACATGAAGGTACAGAAGTATGCATTCCTCATGCTTACTTGTTTTCCTTGTGCTCTTAGAGCTTTTGATCTTTCTTTTGCATATAAGAGAGAGGATGGACTGTTTCTTTTCTAGACATATCTCAACTAAACTCAAATGAGGAGTCGAGTCACATGAATCTCAAGCCCCTTGACAAGAAAAATTAAAGGTTCATTAAGTTGTGGAGCTAGCTTTAGATTGTGTGGGTACCTTAGAAATCTTGCCAAATCAGTAGGTCGATCCACCCTTAGAGGTTCCGTTAGGCACTGTTCGGTGTCGGATTCGCCTTAATGATCACAAGAGCTTTGGTGTGATATGGTAAGCTTCCTAGGATAGATCATAGTTTCCTACTTATTTTGACTCAATAAAACAGAAGTTTTGAAAAAGTGGGTGAGGAAAAACCAGTTTTTAAGATAGAAACAATCATGAACAAACGCATTAGTACCGACAATCCCCCCAGACTTAACTTGCACCGTCCGGTGAAAGAAAATCCAATTAAGGGAGTTAAAAGAGAGGTAATAAGGCGATTGTGAATGTAAAAAGAAAGATGTAACCTGATTTGGGTTGTGCACTGGAAGAATGGTTTATGGTGAGGTGGGATGGGTGAGATGCAGATGGAACGAGATGGGATGGTGTGTTGGCGACTCGAGAGGACATGGGCGAGCGTGGAGAGGTTCTGCTCGGCCATCAGGGTCGCGCCAACTATGAACATTCTTCCTTGTGGTGTATCTTCTTTACCATTGTGTGGTTCTTAGGTTCTGTATCCAAAACTCAAAACAAAACTAGACATTAACTAAAACTAATTGAAAAGAAAAATAAGAAAAACACCTTTCATGGGTTGCCTCCCATGCAGCGCTTGTTTAGTCATTAGCTTGACTGATAGGATCTCTTAGTTAGAGATGGGTAAGGGCACGGCCTGAGACATAGTCTTTTGGTGCTTGTCTCATTGTGACCTTGAGTGTGGTCTGGTGGTTCTCTTGGGCGGCCTTGGGGGTAATGAAGTAGGACAGCTTGTTTGGTGAGATGAATGGTATGGTCTTGTAAAAGACTGTCTTGTAAAAGACTGTCTTGTCAACATTGGCTAAAGAGATTCACCTGTTTAAAAGGTCCATGACAGCTCCAGCAGTGGCCAAAAAGGGTCGGCCTAGTATCAAGGGCGTGTCACATCCTCCTTTGATGTTCATAACGTGAAAATCCACCGGGATCTTGATATCTCCAATCTCTAGAAGAACATCAATTACAACTCCTCTTGGCTTGGCTATAGTATGATTAGCAAGTCCAATACTAATCTGAGCAGGTTGTAAGCGTGTGATGCCAAGGAGTTTGGCGGTTTGGGTTGGCATGAGGTTGATGCAAGATCCAGAATCGCTAAGTGTTCTATCAAAGTAATGACCATTTACTTGACAGTGTATAGAGAATTGACCTGGGTCTTCAATCTTGTAGAGGGTTTTGAAGGTAGGTGATGATAAGATTTGTGTGTGGGTGTGAAAGATATGATATGAAATGTGGTGGAATGCAACAGTGGTATATGAAGATGAGGTAGTAAGATGCAAACACAATCACAATCAACAATTCTTATCATCAATTTGGCGCCGTTGCCATTTGGGTTGAATATTGTTGCATTTGAGTTTCCAATACACTTGGACGATCAAGCTATCCCACCCATGTTCTTTGTATTGTTGGGTTGTTGATTCTTTTTGTAGGTGTATGCAAACTCGATCGAGTCGGACAACAGAAGACTTGGTCGAGGTAGACTTCACCACGGGTAGAAAGAGAAGACAGAGGACTCAGAGGGTACAAGAGAAACCTGAGGTGCTTGTTACTGATACAATGGAAGTACCATAGGGTAATGGAAACCCTTTGGGCAATGGACTCGGTCGAGCTAGGCAACCTCGACCGATTGGTCTATGAGATGCTCCAAACCGCCATCAACAGAGATAAGGCACTGTCCCACCACCTGTTCAGAACCACAACTTTGAGATCAAGCTGGGTATAATCAACCTTGTGCAGAAAAAGATGTTCCATGGATTGCCAAGTGAAGACCCCATTGATCACCTTGATGAGTTTGACAGGTTATGTGACTTGACCAAGATCAATGGGAGAAAAGCTTGCCCCATGGCATAATCACTACTTGGGATGAATGCAAGAAGGCCTTTCTTGCTAAGTTTTTCTCCACCGGTCGCACAGCGAAGCTAAGGAGTGAGATATCGAGCTTCATACATAGGAACAATGAGACATTTGCTGAGGCTTGGGAGAGGTTCAAGGGCTACACAAGTCAGTGCCCTCATCATGGCTTCAACAATGAGTCTTTGCTCTCTACTGTTTATAGAGAATGCTTGGCAAGATATAGAGAGATGTTGGACACAGCCAGCAATTGGAACTTCCTGAATAGGGCTAGGTGTATCCTTGCTCTGTTTTGGAGAAGCATTCATGTCGATGCTCTACTCTGCATCTTCATCATGTAGTTGTTCCTCATACTCTCTTTCTTCTTCTTCATTGTCCTCATGGGCTTGGTGATTGATGCCTCTTCTTATGATGGCATTTCAAGGAAAGGGAGGGAGGTTAAGGAAAGGGAGGGAGGTTGGGTGTTGGACTGATGTACTTGCATTTTACATAGTTTTAGCACATCTTTTATGCATCTTTTGCATAGTTTTAGCTTCCATTTGCATCATATCTTGTTCCTTTTCTCTTCTTATGCATTCATGTTAGTTTTAGGTTGCATTTGCATACATATGCATGTTTGGTCCTTTGAAATAGGTCTTTTGGAGCATTCTGGAGCATATGGGACACAAGGAGCATGGAGGGACTTGGCACATGGAAGCAGCTCAACTGGATACGCAAAGGAAGAAGGGAGAAGCCATCTTGAAGACCAGCTCGACCGTCCACTCGACCAACCGGTCGAGTTCCTCAACTCGACCGGCCAAGCTTCAACTCGATCGAGCTGGAAGTCAAAGTCAAACCCGAAAAATGTTGCTTCCCCCTTGACTTTCCTTTGACCCTAAACCTAATCCTCTTGTATTTAAAGGCTCTAAGCCACGAAAAAACCACCAAGCTTTAGATTATTTTGTTTTAGTTTCTTTAATTTTATTGTCTTTTACTTTTTAGAACTAATCCCATCTTTGTGTTCTTGAAGCTCTTGCTTCTTGAATCTTAGATCCTGGATAATCTCTTTGTATTTGCACTTGCTTATTTCAATAAAAGTTGTTTAATTTCATCTCCTCTTTCTTATGATGTCTCTTTTATTGCATTTGCTTGTGTTTACATTCATGTGTAGTGAGTAGTTACCCATTAGGGTTTGAGATGGGATAGATTAGAGGTTTCATATGCTTAATCCTTCTAGCTTATGGTCTTAATCTAGATTCTCTCTCTTTTGGATAGATCTTAAGGCTACATGACCACTACCCCTGGCTTGTAAGTCCTTAGGCGACTCCCCACACGGAAGTGATGGCATTCGCTGGAAAAGATCCACTAAGAGCTCCAATATCTCTTGCTCTAGACAATAGAGGTCTAAGGGGTTGGATGGATTAGTTTGGGCAATGATCCTATAGCCTCCAAGGTTTGATTCTCACTGGCTAACCCCCTGTTTCTGAGATCATTCCTTGGTTGATAGCCTCCACCTTGGGAAAGGGTTGGCTAGGCATTGAGAAGCCCAATATCAAGAGAAGCCTTGATACAAGGAGTTTTAAGAGCTAGATTGATTAAGTGTAGATTCCTTTGATTGCAAAACCCTGTCTTGAACCCTAATTCTCTCTTTATCTTGTTAAAGTCGTCACCTTTAGCTTTGTTTGTCTCAACTCGTCCCTAAACTCGATCGAGCTGGTACTTTGCTCTACTCGACTCGAGCTCTTGGTCGAGCTGCACTTCACTGCTTTCTTTACTTTTATTGCACTGCATTTCATTTTTAGGTTGTTAGTGTTACTTCAAATCTATAACTGCTTGCTTGACTTCCTGGTTGTTTCATATTCTCATAGAGTGACAAGTTTCCCATTTTGGATTGATAACCCTTTGTACTACAACTATCATGGTTAAAGGGAATTGTTGACTGTGTTTGTGTTTGCATCTTACCACCATCATATACCACTGATTGCATTCCACTCATCATATCTTTTCACATCCACACACAAATCCTATCATCAATTTGGCGCCGTTGCCGATTTGGGATATTTTTGTTGCATTTGAGTTTCAAACACACTTGGACGATCAAGCTATACCACCCCTGTTCTATTGTACTGCTGGGTTTTTGTCTCTTTTTGCAGGTGTATGCGAACTCGATCGAGTCGGTCAACTGAAGACTTGGTCGAGCTAGACTTACAACGGGTAGAAAGAGGGTTCAGAGGTCACAGAGGGTACAAGAGGAACCTGAGGTGCTTGTTGCTGATACAATGGATGTACCAGAGGGGAATGGAAACCCTTTGGGTAATGGACTCGGTCGAGCTAGGCAAACTCGACCGATTGGTCAAGGAGATGCTCCAAACCGCCACCAACAGAGACAAGGGATTGTTCCACCACCAGTGCAGAACCACAACTTTGAGATCAAGCTGGGAATGATCAACCTTGTCAGAACAAGATGTTCCATGGATTGCCAAGTGAAGACCCCATTGACCACCTTGATGAGTTTGATAGGCTTTGTGATTTGACAAAGATCAATGGTGTCTCTGAAGATGCCATCAAGCTGAGACTCTTTCCTATTAGGGATGTGATTTCGGGTCAGCCCGACCCATTTAGGCCCGTCCCGAATAAACCCGACCCATTTAGACCCGTTCCGTTTAGACCCTTTAAATTTTTGAACCCGTTTGGGCCTGCTTGTTTAGGCCCGGCTAAATTGTTCAAGCCCGTGTAGGCCCATTTAGTATTTTTTTCAGAAAAAAAAAATTAAAGATTTGAAGTAATAAAACAGAGGGTTTTTCAGAAATCATATAAAGGTTTAGTACAACTATTAATCTCAGCAAATCTTTAACTTTGAGACAAAATAAACATAAAATCCACAGCAAATTCTCTACTTCATCAATCATTCATCAATCACCAATTCACCATCATCCTGAAGCAAATAACTCTGCAAACAGACGGCCACAAAAGTTTTCAGACTCTAAACCATTTGTACTAGTACATAATCATGTAAACCTCTTTGTATCAATTCATAACAGAGAATGCTAACAATCTGTACTTATGCAATGGTTTGAAAACTATGAAACAGAATAGTGAAAACAAAATTTACCCGATTCATGGCATGCTTGATTCTCCTGCTCTTAAACCGCTTATAGCATTTTCATTAGGTTGATTGTTGTTTTCGTCTGAGGTATACAAGGCTCACACAGTCACACATCAGAGCAAAACCTTCATATTTCAAAACAATCAAACAAGTGAAACAAGTAAAGTTTACCTTCTTCAGATTCAGCAAAACCTCTTAACCAATTTCGGGTACAAAGTAGAGCTTGCACATTGTCAGGAAGTAACCGGTTTCTATATGGAGTCAATACTCTAGAACCAATGCTGAAGGCAGATTCTGAAGCTACAGTAGTAATTGGTATGCTCAGCAAATCACGAGCCATCTTTGCTAACTCACCAAATCGATGTTGATTGTCCTTCCAATAGCCTAAGACATCATAACTTGGAAAAGATGCTCTATCAAGTCTTGGTTCCTCCAAATAAATATCCAAATGTGTCTTTGTGTTGCTCACACCAGTTCCGATGCTTCTTTCAAGATCAAAAATATCTTGAGATTATGAAATCAAATCTGAATAACCATAATGACTTAATGAGCATGTCGCATAATACAAGTTGACAAGAAATCACCATAAGTTAAAAAAAAACAGGAACATATACTTACAATATCAAAGTCATCATCTTCAAGTGGAGATTCAGTGACTAACTCTTGTGGAGTTGGTATTGTTGTAACTCTTGAACTAGGACGAGCTCTTGCAACATAATCATTGTAGAGCAAAATCAAATTGTCTTTAAGCTCTTTGACTTTCACCTTTGAAGTAAGAGGATCCACTGCTTCATAAGCTTTCTCAAGCAAATACAACTTCATTCTAGGATCTAAAACAGCTCCCATGGCCAAAACAAGGCTGTAATCTTCCCAATACTTGTCAAACTTCACTTGCATTCTCTCAGCCATATCAGCCAAAGCAGCATCATCACAACTGGAAAACTTCATTAGTAGTAGTTGAATCCTCCAAACTTGTGTAAAATAAACGTTGGAAGTAGGATACTTTGAACCTGAAAACAGATTGGTGATGACATAGAAAGGCTTTAGGAATTCACAGAGTTTCTCTCCACGGTTCCATTCTTCTTCAGATGGTAATGACTTATAGTTTAGGTCATAAACTGACAAGTACTCAAACGCTTTCCTGAACTTTAAGGCCCTTACAAGCATTTCGTAAGTAGAGTTCCATCTTGTAGCAACATCAAGCGATAATCCTGATTTTTTAAATCCTTCTCTCAGTGCACATGCATGAAAAGCCTCCTTCCTTCCTTGAGACGATTTCACATAGGTGACACTTTCTTTGATGTTTTCCAACAAATCCTTTGCTAACTCTAAACCTTCCTTCACTATGAGATTGAGTATATGAGCACAGCATCTGACATGCACAAACTTTCCATCACACAATAAGCCACCACCATTTACCAACTCAAATCGACCCTGAAGAAGTCTCACCATGCTATTATTGTTGCCAGCGTTATCCAGAGTAATGGAGAAGACTTTTTTCTCTACACCCCAATCCTTCATACACTCCATAACCTTATTAGCCATTTCTTCCCCAGTGTGTGGAGCCTTGAGATAACAAAAAGTTAGTATCTTACTACTTAACCTCCAGCTAGAATCAATGAAGTGAGCTGTAAGACAAATATACCCTGTATTTGTGCAAGTGTCTTTCCATAAATCTGAAGTAAAACACACCCGACCATCATGCTTTGCTAACACCTCTCTAAGCTTATCCTTTTCAATTTCATACCTCTTGAAAACATCAGCTGTTGCAGTCTGTCTGCATATTGGCTGGCAATCAGGATTGAGATACTTGTCTCTTGCTCTCACCTTCTCATATTCAACATACCGAAATGGAAGATCGTGATAGATGATTATTTCGCTCATCATTTCACGATCTACCTGATGATCATAGACAGGCCTATCTCCTTCCTTAGGCTTCTTGGGACACTTCTCTAAATGTCTTAGCAGATGATGAGTTCCATGGGTTCTAGAGTTGGTCACAAACTTTGCCTCACAATGGATACACTTGCTTCTTTCTTTCCCATCTGATTCAATCCCAACAGGCTCAAAATCCTTCCAAACACGTGAAGTTTTGCGTCTCTTACGCACAGCTTGAGTTGCTTGAGTCGCTTGAGTCGCACTGTGTTCTGGATCCTCAGTTGCTTCTGTTTTTGACACTTCCTCGTCAAACTCAACATATTCAGCTCCCTCATTAACCTCAAAATGAACATTTTCATCGTTCATATACTGACTCCTTCTTGTTTCTTGAGACTCAAAATCCATAGTTCAATGCCAAGACTACAAAATAACAAGTGGTTTCTGTGTTAGGAAAGAGCACAAAACCAATGTATATAAGAACAAAAATTGAGTATAGAGAAGAGAAACTCTACAATTCTCCATAAAAAGAATGGTTTTTGTCAAGATTGAATGTATAAGTTACAAGAAGAAACGCAAGCCTACTTGTTCCGAGAGATAGAGACTCTTTACAAAAAAGTCACAACAAATCAAAACTCTTTACACAAAAGTTACACACTTTATCAAATCTCAACACAGCTAAACATCTGAATAACATCAACTTGATAGATCGGCTTTTGATTTCTCCCACAGCTCATGCACAATACACAAAACCCATGTCTCAGAATTAACAGTCAAGCTCATACACAATACACAATCACATGAGCCAATAGAAAAACCCAGAAAACCCATTTCAACAAATCCGCAAATCTACTGAAACCCATTTCAACAAAACCGAAAAATCTTAAATCAACTGAAAAACTCACTTAAACTCACGAGAAGAGAGAAGAGCCGAGCTTCACCGATGGAAAAGAAAAGTCGACGGTGATGAAGAGGAGAGAAACGGTGGGTGGAGACTGGAGAGGAGAGAAGACAGTGATGAAGAGGAGAGAAACGGTGGGTCTCGAAGCTAGATCTGTTTTTTTTTCACCGATGGAAAACAAAAGTCGAGGAAGAGAACTAAACGGTGTCGTTTCAGCATAGAATTTCAATAAAAAAAATTAAACGGGCTACCCGAATCTAAAACTGAAGACCCGTTAGTATATGGGCCTAATCGGGTGCGCCCGTTTAATAATTTGTGTGTTTGAAACGGGCTTGGGTAGACCCGTTTAGTTGTAACCAGTTTAAGCCCACGGGCTTAAGCCCGAAATCACATCCCTATTTCCTATGTCTCTAGCTGACAAGGCTCACCAATGGGAGAAGAGCTTGCCCCATGGCACAATCACCACTTGGGATGAATGCAAAAAGGCTTTTCTTGCCAAATTTTTCTCCACCGGTCGCACAGCCAAGCTTAGAGGGGAGATATCCAGCTTCATTCAGCGCAACAATGAGACATTCGCAGAAGCTTGGGAGAGATTCAAAGGGTACACAAGTCAGTGCCCACACCATGGATTCAACAATGAATCACTACTCTCCACTCTTTATAGAGGATGTTTGCCTAGGTATAGGGAGCCAAAGCTTTGGTGACTTCAGAACAGTCCAGGGACCCAACCAAGCTAAAGGAGCTTCTGTCTCAAGTCCTCACTATCACCCTTGATGGTGGGACTAGCTCAACCAATGCCTAAGAAGGTAAAGGTCAAGCTATGGGACCTTAAACAAGCTCACTTGGGAGGAAGTCCCATGTTTATCCTTGTACATACTCTATTTATGCAATTTCTATCTATCTTTATGTTTTTAACCTTTCAATAAGTTAAGTTTAGGTGTCAAGGAGCCAGCTCGACCGAGCTCGATCGAGCTAGAAACCAGGGCAACTCGATCGAGCTACACAACTCGACCGAGGTAAGTTTTTGAATTTCAAATTCATAACCGTTTTCTTGGTCAAGGGAGTGGGTCCCACAAGCTGATTTTGGTCCCCCACTACCCTAATTGATCAGAGAATCCCTAGTTTCTTGTTCCCTCTTTATTTCATCTTTTAATCTCAACCACACATCTCAAACACCTCTTCCCCATAACTCGATCGAATCCACTCTCTCTCTCTCTCCCACACACTTAAAATTTCTGAAACTCATCTCTCTCTCTCTTCACCACAAGAAAATTTCGAATTTTCAACTTTCTCTCTAAGTTTTTGCGATTTCTTGTTCATCTTCTTGTTTTGCTTGGGTTTTGTTTACTGCTCTTCAATTCCATCATTCAACAAGGTATGAACCCTAAAACCCTTCATTCCTCCATCTCGATTTCTCTATTGCTTGTTTCTCTTTGATTTTTGATTGCATGTGTCCCTTGTGGACTTGTTCTTGAGTAATTGCTCATATTTCGCCTCTGCTGTATAATCTTGTATTTGTTTCACCTCACCTCTGTTTTGCCTTTAAACTTGTTGCATGTGCTTGAAATTGAATTTGAGTTTGGTTGGTTAAGATGCTTATGTTTTCACTAGAATTGCTCATTGTTCCATTTACTAGTTGTTCTTGGTTCAATTTGATTGATTAGCATCCTTTCCAGCTCTTAATACTTGAATTAGGTTTGGTTATACTCTGTTTTCCCAACTCGATCGAGTTTGTCACTCGAGTTTTTTGACTCGATCGAGCTGAGTGTCGAGTTGACCAAACCGATCATTACAACTCTAATTCTTTGTAATCTTTGATGCATTTCAGGTACTTTAGTGAAGAAACAGAGTAACAAGATGACAAACAGTGAGGGAAGCCGTGCTTCACAAGGAGAATGGTTGAGGGTGAATCAAGCAATGCAAGAAGCAAGGCTTAAGATGCAAGCCGATTTGGAGAAGGATGGATCAGAGATGGAAGAGTCTGATGCAGAGGAGTATGTCTACTCTGAGGAACAGTCTGAGAGTGAGATTGAGGGAAGAAAGGAGAACCAAGAAGAGGAATGACCCATAAGTAGTGAGAGTGAGCAAGGGGAGTTTGAGATTGGAGTGAACCTTGTTCAAGAGGGGGAAATGGCTCTCCAAATGAGGAAGGCAGTGAGGAAACTGAGAGTGATGAGGAAGGAGAAGAGGTGAACCAATTGGTTGATGAAGATGACCAAGAGGGAACCAAGATGAGCCAATGGAAGAGGCTGAGGAAGAGAGGAGGAGGATGAGCTCCCCATGTACCAAGAGCACTACAATGCTCTCTTCTCCATGGACTTTGTGGAGACTAAGTACCCACACGATGACACCATGAGAGATCTTGGTATCTTTGAGGATGTGGAGTTGGTGCTCAAGAACATGCAATTGGGGAAGTTCTTCTCTCACCGCATGGAGTCTTACAAGGAGTTGACTTGTGAGTTTTTGGCGTCGATGAAGCATCACGAGTTTGATGAGCTCGATCGAGCTGAGTTGGACCGAGGCTGGGGGTACATAACTTTCTAGCAAAGGGAGAGAAGAAGATGGTGACCTTTAGGCAGCTTGAGATACTGTTTGGGTTCACCTATGGAGAAGGTAACCAATGGAACATCAAGGAAGAAGAACTCCAAAGAGTATGGGCTACAATAGCTGAAGAGGGGTACTCTTCCTCAAGGTCCAAGGCTGCCCAGATCAGAAGTCCTGTGCTTAGATATGTCCACAAGGCTCTTGCAAACACCTTCTTTGCAAGGAAAGCCACTGGAACAATCAATGAGGGAGAAGTGAAGCTCCTTACCATGGGAATCAAGCCCATCATCTCACGCACAAGGATGGGAAGAAGATCAGAGGAGACAGGGCACACGCAGGGAATCTCATGCCTCTCCTTGAGCAGCTCCAAGCCTACAAGGTCACAGCTTACAACACTAGGCACCAAAGAGGAAGAAAGCTTAGTGTTGGAGGGGTGATCACACCAATCTTTGTGCAGCTGGAGTTCAAGTGGACAAGAGAAGGTCTACTCCACCAGGTTGGATGGACATCAAGTTTTGCAAGACCAACCTCCTCATTGAGCACAAGGAGTTGGATGGGAGATTCCAATTCAAGTTCACCACCCCACGGCTGGACTCTCCAAGCTTCTCCTGCCCAACCCTGAGCTCACCACGGTCCTAGGAGGTAGAACATTGACTTCAGACCCCCTGTGTACACTTTGGTTGGGCATGAAGCGGATTTGCAGAAGAAGAGATCGAGCTCGATCGAGCTGAGGATCGAGCTGAGATCAGCTGAGGATCGAGTGAGGAAGCAGGAATGAGGATTTGGGTGAGCCTGAGTGCTATTACTTTGAGGAGTATGAGGCTCCAAGGATGAACCCCTCTGTTGTGGCTGCCACAAGAGGATTGGACTTCTCCAAAAGTTCAACAAATGGCAAGGGAAAGCCATTGAGAAGATGCAAAAGTCCATGGACAAGATGGTGAGCAAGATCAAAAGTTTGGAGAAGAAGGTTTCTGGTTCTTCAAGCAAGAAGAAGTCCAAGGCCCCCACATTCCCTAGGAGTAGTCACTCCTCACCACTCCAAGGAGGCTCCCTGCCCAAGAGCCTCACAGAGCCTCTTCTTTCGAGCCAAGGGAAGGAGAAGACAACACGCAGAGAAGGAGGAAGACTTCCAAGGCCAGACGCTCCAGCTCGACCACCGGACTCGATCGAGTCCAAACAGAGGAAACTCAACTCGATCGAGCTGACGGTCGAGTTGACCTGGAGGAGCCCCAGTTTGAGGATCCGGGATTTGAATACGATCCCATGCCTTACCAGGAGCCTCCCCGGAGTAGATGGAACCCCTATGGACAGTACGAGCTAGCCAATGCTCCACCAAGGCCAAGGAAGCCACACACTTTGAGATGAAGAAGAGGAGGAAGAGGAGCCGCAAGCTCGATCGAGTGAGCCACAAGAGGCAACCCCAGTTGCATGGAGTGCTCCTGATGGCCGTCTCCCATCTCCAGACCACGACCTAGTCTCCCAGTTCTTTGGGGGACACTGAGGTATCCAAACACCAACCCTTGTATATACCATTTCATATTTTCTTGCATTTGTTCTTGTTTTTTCTTGGTTTTGCCCTCTTGAATCTTTCACTAAATTTTTCTCACACAAGGGACTGTGTGATTTAAGTTTGGGGGAGGGTTCAAGAGATGATTTAACCTTGTTTTCTTTGTTCTTAGTTTTTCATTTATCTTTTGCATAGAAAAACCAAAAAAATCATAAAATTTTCAAAAAATCCAAAAATATTTTCATCTTTTTGCATTCATATTTGTTAGACTTGTTTAGGATTGCATTTTTCACTTGCATTGTTGATTTGACTTTGAAAACTTGTCCATCTTTTGCGATTTCTTGAGTGCCCTGTTTTTAGATTCTTTTGTGCATTAGGGTGAGATTGATTGAGCAGCAAGAACCATGTTTATCTTGATCATATCGCTGCATGCACATCTCATTCAACCATTGCTGTGATTTGATGCATTTCCCTATCTATTTGAACCATAACTTGATCTTTAATTACCAATGCTTGCATTTGATTTCAACTCATGGCTACCACATACATATCTGGACATTCTTTACCATTTTCATATCCCTTTTGCTTGTCCAGATAGCTGATCTCTATCTTTGAGACAGTTACCACACCTTAAACCTAAGCCTTTTCATTTCAAACCCCATTATTATCTCTTGTGCGAATGTGAGAACCTTTCTTGGCTTTGCTTAGCATAAGGTGTTGTGTTTAAACCGGCAGGGGCAGTAGTTCTAGTTGTCTAGTTCTCTTGGGATTGTTTTCAGGCTAAGTTTGGGGGTGCCAACTCGAGCTCGATCGAGTTGGGTGTAAAAACCAGAAAAGTGGTAAAAGTTGGGAAAAACCCAAAGGAAAAAGAGTTTGGTTAAGTCCAGGGAGTTGGCAGTGTTTAAAAAGGGTCTAGTAAAGGTTTGGGAAGTTAAAAAAGGAAAGTAAAAAGGGTTCTAAGTAGAATGAAAAGAAGGCAAAGCCTCAAGTGTCAAAAAGGAAAGAAAAGTTCCCTAAGTGTTTAGAAAATCCCAAACCGCTAGATGTTACCTCAAGAAGCCTCTCCCTAGGAAGTTCTTAAAAGAAAAGTGAGCAAAGCTCCTCAGTTTCAAAGGCGAAATGCCAAAAAGGGTAGTTAGGATTTTGTTCTAAAAAGCTCTAAGTGTTGAACTCGATCGAGTTAGGATTAGGCGGCTCGAGCTGCTGTTCTTGCATCATCTTTGGTTCTAACACTTAGCCTTCTGCCAAAGCAAAGCCACTTTCTTGAGAGATCCCTGTTACTAAACCACCATACAAAAGAGACCCTCTTTGTCTCTTAACCCATAAACCCTTGAAACCAAATGAGTTGATTGATCTTGCATGTTTTTGGTTCACTGTTTTTGCTTAATGAATGTTAAAGGGATTTGCTGATTTGAATGCATTGTTTGAGTGACTGTGAAGTGGGATTGATGTTGATAAGCATGGTTAAATCTTAATGAATATCTCTCACCTTGTTGCATTCTAGAATCTCTAAGTTGGACATTTAGCAAATCGCTTTTGAGGACATGTTTTTAAGTGTTGAATCAGCTATTTTCAAACCTCATCTCTTTCTTGTTCTATTTGTTTGCTTGAGGGCAAGCAAAGTTCAAGTTTGGGGGTGTTGATGTACTTGCATTTTACATAGTTTTAGCACATCTTTTATGCATCTTTTGCATAGTTTTAGCTTCCATTTGCATCATATCTTGTTCCTTTTCTCTTCTTATGCATTCATGTTAGTTTTAGGTTGCATTTGCATACATATGCATGTTTGGTCCTTTGAAATAGGTCTTTTGGAGCATTCTGGAGCATATGGGACAAGGAGCATGGAGGGACTTGGCACATGGAAGCAGCTCAACTGGATACGCAAAGGAAGAAGGGAGAAGCCATCTTGAAGACCAGCTCGACCGTCCACTCGACCAACCGGTCGAGTTCCTCAACTCGACCGGCCAAGCTTCAACTCGATCGAGCTGGAAGTCAAAGTCAAACCCGAAAAATGTTGCTTCCCCCTTGACTTTCCTTTGACCCTAAACCTAATCCTCTTGTATTTAAAGGCTCTAAGCCACGAAAAAACCACCAAGCTTTAGATTATTTTGTTTTAGTTTTTTAATTTATTGTCTTTTACTTTTTAGAATCTAATCCCATCTTTGTGTTCTTGAAGCTCTTGCTTCTTGAATCCTTAGATCCTGGATTAATCTCTTTGTATTTGCACTTGCTTATTTCAATAAAAGTTGTTTAATTTCATCTCCTCTTTCTTATGATGTCTCTTTTATTGCATTTGCTTGTGTTTACATTCATGTGTAGTGAGTAGTTACCCATTAGGGTTTGAGATGGGATAGATTAGAGGTTTCATATGCTTAATCCTTCTAGCTTATGGTCTTAATCTAGATTCTCTCTCTTTTGGATAGATCTTAAGGCTACATGACCACTACCCCTGGCTTGTAAGTCCTTAGGCGATCCCCACACGGAAGTGATGGCATTCGCTGGAAAAGATCCACTAAGAGCTCCAATATCTCTTGCTCTAGACAATAGAGGTCTAAGGGGTTGGATGGATTAGTTTGGGCAATGATCCTATAGCCTCCAAGGTTTGATTCTCACTGGCTAACCCCCTGTTTCTGAGATCATTCCTTGGTTGATAGCCTCCACCTTGGGAAAGGGTTGGCTAGGCATTGAGAAGCCCAATATCAAGAGAAGCCTTGATACAAGGAGTTTTAAGAGCTAGATTGATTAAGTGTAGATTCCTTTGATTGCAAAACCCTGTCTTGAACCCTAATTCTCTCTTATCTTGTTAAAGTCGTCACCTTTAGCTTTGTTTTCTCAACTCGTCCCTAAACTCGATCGAGCTGGTACTTTGCTCTACTCGACTCGAGTCTTGGTCGAGCTGCACTTCACTGCTTTGTTTACTTTTATTGCACTGCATTTCATTTTTAGGTTGTTAGTGTTACTTCAAATCTATAACTGCTTGCTTGACTTCCTGGTTGTTTCATATTCTCATAGAGTGACAAGTTTCCCATTTTGGATTGATAACCCTTTGTACTACAACTATCATGGTTAAAGGGAATTGTTGACTGTGTTTGTGTTTGCATCTTACCACTCATCATATACCACTGATTGCATTCCACTCATCTCATTTCATATCTTTTCACATCCACACACAAAAACCTTTCATCATGGACTCCTCTCTTTCTTGTACTTGGAGTAAGATGATCCTTCAAGGGCTTGTAGGCGGTTGTAGATCGATCCAAGGTGCTTGCTATTATCATAGCTAGTATCTTCAATCCTCATGCTCTTGTTAAGAAACTCTTGATATTTGGCAGCAACATCAAGTCTAACAAGGTTTAGAGATCGATCATGGTCTTCTCTAAGCTTCTTTATGTCTTCATCAAGCTTGATCACTTGCTTGAATAGGACTTCAGATTTGTTTCCAAGACTCATGGATGAAATCGATTCTCCTTTCCATCTTCTTTGTACTCTCATCTTGATCCTTCAAATATTTTTGAAGCATCACTTCAATCTTGGTTGGGCGCGCGGCTTTGAACTCTCCTCAGCAAAAAGAGGTGTTTGATTTATGTCTGGTGATGATGGATGGTGTCGTGAATAGCTGGGGCGGGTGGTGGAACATAGATCGGACCTTTTGCAAATCTGTAAAGGAAAGCTTCCTTGTACCTTCCAAGTCTTGAAGGCGTGTTGGGCATTGAAGTTACCCATTCTTGGCTCGTCCAGCTAGTGATAGTTGGAAAAGTTGTATCTTCTTGGGGTTGTCTCCAAGACCATAGTAGTTGCAAAGTTGCTCAAAGTTGTATAGATGCTCCTTTGCACACTCTGAAGTAAATCATGGAAAGGGCCTCTCTCCACATGCTTGATTAGTTCTTCATTCATGATCTCAGGATGGGGTTGTATGCCTCCCCATTCTTCTTCATCACGCTCCACTTCTAGTGATAAGAGTAGTGGTTGTACTTGATTTGAAAGGTGGTAGCCTTGCAAATCTCTTCAAGAAAGCTTCTCTAAAATCGATCCATGACTCGATTGAGAAAGCGGTTCATGCTGCGCCCAATCTAGTGCTGGTCCAGCTAAAGACATGCTGAATAGCATCATCTTCTTCTCAAAGTCAAAAACTCCATAAGAATCACAAAGATTCTCAAAGTGATCTATGTGCTCCAGTGCATACTCCGAAAATAGATCATGGAATTGATCTCTCTTCACGAACTCGATCAGTTCAGGGTCAATCTCCTCTTCTGGTGTGGCTAGAAGGTGTTCTTCTCTGTAAGATGCGGCTTGGCTAGACGTCTCCAGGTCGGCTGCTTCAAGGTAGGGAAGAAGTTCTTCTTGGACTTCAAGGGGATACTTTTGGAGGACTATCCCAAGAAGGTGGTGGTGCTTGAGGGCTTGACATCTCTTGTTCGTCCAAGAGGTCTCTTTGAGGTGGTATGTGGCGAAGTGGATCGCCTTTATAGGGCAAGGACTTGTGAATCCTTCTCCATATCTAACTAGGAAAACCTGAAAAAGCTCAAAAACAAAAAGGAAAAACGAAATCAAAAGAAAAAGGAAAAATAACAAAAACAAAAAGGAAATAGAAAACCCTAGACTAGCTCTCTTGCAAGAGCTTGTAGGTGCGAATTGGTCCCCGGCAACGGCGCCAAAAACTTGATCGCGGGATCAGGTCTTCCCTTTTCCTATCCCTGATTCTGCAAGTGCACAGGTCAGAAGTAGTAAACGGGTATCGAACACGAGGACCAGATTGCACACTACAAACTATGAGATTGAGATCGAGCTAGGGCAAAAGTATGAGATTGGTTGAGTGCAGTAAAAGTAAAGGCATGCAAGTAATTAAAGAGATTGAAATCAATAGGAGATGAGGGCTAAGCAATAGGATAGTCTTAAGATAAGCAATTCATGAAGCAAGGATCAATCAATTAGGGTTATTGCAATTAGGTGCCATCTAGAACTTGAAACACTATGGTATGATCTTTCCACTTTCGTGGCTCCGACCCCTTTGTTAATCTCCCTAGTCGCTAAACTTTTGGTATGTCCCTAGGTGATTAAATCAAGCATTAGTTCGATTAAGTTCAATTGTTCACAACCTACAAGTAAATCAACTTTCGCAGTCTAAAAGAGGTTGCCCACCAAATACTAGTTCAGGCGAATGATACAGCACTTTCGAGGCTCAAATCAACCTTAGATCATATGCTAATTGGCCAGATTAACAACAAGCATTAAGTATAAGCAAAGATGAAGATTATAAGTAAAACCCTAATTCATGTGATCGATCATCAAGCATACATGAATGCTATCCTTTGACTTCCTATCACTTAACAAGTAAACTACTCAGACATAGAGAAGGAAACGAATTCATATTCATAAGAACAGAGATTCGAATCCTCTCTAGAAAGAGAACAAGCAAGAACAAAGTAAAAGCAAGCAAAACTTTATTAAAGATGTAAAGTAAATTGTGGTCTCTCTCCTTCTTGAGTTACAAGGCTAAAAAGAAGTATTTATAATGCTCTAAGTATGAAAAAGCGGCTAGACCTAATCTAGTAAGTCGCCGGTTTGGGCTTGAAACGTGTGAAACGGGCTTCAAAAACGGCTTCGGGTCGACCGGGACGTTCGGCCGGCATCGGGTCATGGTCGGCTATCGGCACGGTCGGAACGATCGTGGCCGAGAGTTTTCGCGTTCGGCCGTCGTGGTCGGCGGATGGATGGATTGGCCGAAGGTTTCGGCCGGACGTGGGATGAGGCCTTCCTGGTCGGACGGCGCGATCGGCCGCGGTATATGAGTTGTGCCGCACGGCCGCGAGGCATTGCTTCCCGGTCGGTACGTGGGCTCAGCCGTGCTTCAGGCGGGACGGACGATGTTCGGACTTTGGCCGACCGTGGGATGTGCGTTCCTCGGCCGGCCGTTCTGCACGGCTTGGCCGCGGTTTCTCGATAGAGCCGCTGGACCAGTCTTTCTATTTGGCATAACTCCTTTTCTACTCATCCAAATGATGCCAATTCCACTTGCGTTGGAAAGTTAACTCACTCAGAGCACGCAGGGAACTGGTCTTGATGAAATCCATTGAGTAGATCTTTTTTAGCTCCTCCCAAAGTGATGATGTGGCATTGGACTGGTTTGAAGTCCAAATCCTCTGTTTTGCTCCATAATGCACCTTTTGACCTAAAATGACTCTTTGCAGTATAAATCCATAAAAACTACCTTTTAAGACAAGAATCCACTAGAAAACCATTAGAAAACCATAGTAAAATAGCATAAAAAGCATGTAAAATAGAGGTATATCAAATAGCTCTAGATATTATCAATGGAGATTCATATCCAACATCTACAATCTCTTCTGAAGATCTATCTTATATTGCTGTGGTGGAGCAATGTGGATGTATATTGCACATTCAAAGGTTTCTGCCCAAGACCAATTTTGATAGGGAGAACTTTTAGTTACTCTTTGGCTTTATGGGATTTTATGGGAGTTAATGCTTCTGCATTATGTGCAATGATGAACATTTGCTAACGGATATTCAACGTTTATTCTTACAAACATGTTTTTTCACCAAAGATAAGATGTGAATTCACTAGCCCTACCAAGTAATCTTACAAACTTCAGATTGCAGATATATAACATTAATACATTCAACCATCTTGTTGCAAGTGTGTTATTAAACCACACATATTTCTTGTATACTTTCTAGAATAATGAATAGATTTCAAATCTATTTTGGCTAGTGAAGAATATACTTTCTATTATCTATTCTAAAACTTCACATTAGAAATCTTTAAGAAGAATCTTTAAGTTCTTCAGTAAATGTCTACATGATGTATTTTATTTTGCATAATATCTTTAACTGGAATGGTCTAACCAGTTTATGCCAAACTATATTATATTCGGTAAACTTCTGGTTTACTATATAACATCTTTTTAATTTTCCTCGGTTATTGTCTTAACTTGATTAATTTTAGAATTCTTTTGGGTTATTTTATATATGATTCATCAGGATTATTGATCTTTGAATATAATCTTGTGGACTATGAGTTAAGGATTCTTATATTTTTCTTAATCAATGATCAAGTTTATCTTGAGTGTGAACATAATCTTCTAGATGTTCCATTTATTATTGATTGTGAGATTCATCTATTCTTCCCCTCGAGATGATGATACTTTAGGTTCATCTATCTCAAACTGAATCTTAGTATAAAATCAATAGCATACTGGACTTGAATCATATCTTGTATCTTTAATTCTCTAAACTTTCGATATGTGTATTACATCATTGATTATTTTCACTTCTGGGTTTCATAGATATAATGTATCAATGATTGTATTCATATAAATATACATATGTATATACTCTTTCGGAAATATTCTTCCGGAGATATATATCTTTTATTTGCTATCATCTTTATTTTCTCACTCCTTATGAGAAATTTGAGTTTTTGAAATGGTCACAACCATGACATCAACCATAAAAAAAATCATATTCATGTCTATGGTCACATCTTTAATTATTTACTTGCATATCACATTCACTTCAGGGAATAGATCATAACCAATTGGACAAGATTCAAGATTCTCATCAGTAACTCATTATATTATCAAAACTTATACATTATCTTCCAGATAACTAAAACTTATTTACAAACTTCAGGTTTTGTAATCTTTGATGCAAATACAGACTTCAGGTCTTGTAATCTTTGATCCAAATACAAAATATATAAAATATATAAAATTAAATATTAGTATCATGTACTAGTTTATTATCACTTCAGGTGAGAATTTTAATTCTAAAATAAGATAATAAATTAAAAATCATTAAGAAATTTCTTTGCTATTGTGTCTACTGGACAAAAATATTTTATAAAATACTCTTTAAACATATTTATATTATTGTGTCTTCAGGATAACAATATTTTCTTGATTTCTTCTAACACATTTGTATTAGTAATATTATTTTCACTTATAAACTTCAAGTTTATATGGTCTTAGATGCAATAATTTTCTTTCGATTGCTCAATTAGGTCATATCACTTCTGGTGAGTATTCATTTTCTTTACATTAATGTTTAAGACCATATCATTTCTGGTGATTTTTTTTTTTTAATTTCTCCTAAAGAAATTATGAACATGACTAACATGTAATTAATAATAAAATGAGCCAACGAATCTTAGTATATATATCCTTGCTTCACAGGTCAAAAATTAAAAAGTTATAGATAGAAAAAATGTATATACTCAAATCAATGTCCATTTACTTTCGCAGTAAACTGTGACCAATCAAATCGTACATATATGAAAATACTAAAACGGCATAATTGTTCATATAATGAATTAAATAATATTAACCAGCAGATGCCAAATTCATGGTGAATATCAATAATTTTTAACAATGAAACTAACAATAAACTCATTATTAAAACTAGGGCTAAGCCCGCGCGATGCGCGGATTATGACTATTACAAAATTTTATCCATTGTATCTGAATTTTTACAAAGTTTTGTTACTTATACTTTAATTGTCATTTAATTTTTGTAAATATTTTGTCTCTTATATTTTCAGTTAACGCAGGATCAAAATAGAAATGTAAATTATTTCTTATTTCCTGTAAAATCAAATTCCTTAAAATAATTTTCATGTGCCACAAATTAATTATAGCTAATTGTAGCACATCAAAAATCTTAGACCCTAATCTTAATCCCTAATTTTTTTAATAAAAAATCCCAAAATTATAAACTTAAACCATAAACCATAAAATTTAATTCCAAAATAAAAACATTAAATCAGAATTAGCAAAAGAAATTTAAAAGCCATTCCAAACCTTTATATCTAAACCCTTAAATATAACCCTTACATGAAAAAGAAATCTTACACTTATATAAAATCATAAATTTTTGTAGGATTACATATTTTTCTAGAATGTATATATATGGTTAACACTTATCACAAATGTCAAATAAAATCATATAATAAATCTTAAAATCTAAACCATAAACATAATTAATGATTATATATATCTAAATTTTTTTGTTGTCAACAGCTTAAGTTCCTATATCGATTCGGTGAACGATTTTTTAAGTAAATATCTATATTGTTTCTTATTTTGTCTAAAATTATATATTCGAAAATGGTAGCCTTTGTTTTGAGAGCAAATAGTATAACATTATTATTTGTTTTAAATTTTAATATTGCGGCTAAATGCTTTTTATAAAGATAAAAATCACAAAATCATAACAAATTTGCTAAAAAAAACATATATTTGGGATTTAAGAGAAACCTAAAAAAGCAAACCCAATTAAGATAAACTCACTATTTTGCGTAGAGGAATAAAAGATATAAAGAAAATTGTGCTCCTTGAATCTAGTTGTTTTGTAGAGCTTTCTCCATTGTTGAATGTGTTCGGTTTTTTCATGTTGTATGAGTTAGTACCTCTTGTGTGTTCTAGGGAATTTTCCATTGTTGAAACTAAAATATAAATTAATGTTGTTTGCTCGTTATTAAAATAGTTGAAGTCTTTGACGCTCAAATCTAAACATATCAATCTTATAAATCTTTAAATTAGATTTTGAAATTAAGCTTTACAGATGTTGAGTCAAAATGATCATATTAATACACGTTATAAGTCTCTCAGTGGAATCAGCAACAAAACATCACAAAATCTTTTATGGGGGCTTTTACTTTGTTTCCTCTATGCATGTCTTATTTCAGCTTCGTTTTCTGTGACCAAAACGTGAGACTCTGATCCAAGCATGTTGTGTATATCGATATTCCTCGTCATGTCGTGTATATCGATATTCCTCGTGTTGCTTAAACTAAAAATGTCCATGATCACTTACAGAGTCATGGTGAAGCCTAGATTAGACAAGACCTCTATCGCATTCCCGATTCTGCATATGTTTTGTTGAGTCTCGAGTGGAGTATGTCTCTGTTCTTTTCTTGTGTACTCTTGGTCATAGGATCTCTGACGTGGCCGTGTTCCACAAATCAATCTCTGCGAAGCTTCTGACTTCTAACTCGTAGAAGCAAGCTTCCATCCTTCTGAAACGAGCCTACTTCGGCCTATGGTTTTTACAAATTAAAGATTAGGTGTGTGCAAAGATGAAGATATTTAAAGATGGAACATTTATTAATCATAAGACTTACACAAACGACATCATCTTCTACATATATATTCCACATATTGAGTTCATCCACAGAGGTTCTTCGATTATTCATGCCAACACCGACATATAAAAAGTTATATTGTGGAATCAAGTTGTAACCTGACCATTAACATCATGCATGTTTATGAAAGAATCTTGAGTAAAGTTGAGATCCACTCTCCAACGTGTTTGAGCAACCTGATCAATAAGTAGGATTTTAAGGTTGCAAATCTCTCTCAAATTAACTGATTTCAAAACCTAAATCAGACAGTTTATTACCAGGATTTATTATTACCAGTTTTGTGGATAGTCTCCATGTCAGTGAAACCCTCGAGGAGCCTCTCTTGCTTCTGGTAGTATATAAAGACTTCACGTTCCTTTCCTGCATACTGAGACAACAGAGAGAGAAGAGTTAAACTTCATATAAACCCTTTTCAATATTTAACAACTCTTTAATCTTATATATAAAAGATTCCACGAAAAGCTTTTTAAGTTTGAATCAAGAAAAGAAAAAGTTAAATTGATTTGCGAAACAAATTTCGTGAATAGCATTGGAACAATCACTAAGCACTAAACAGATCAACGATTTGCGAAACAGTTTTGAAATTCAGTAAATTTGATGGAAACGGTAGAGAAGTTACAGAAGCAATGAAAAAGAGAAGCTAACTGAAATAAACAATGAAGCTTTCAGGAAATACGATAGTATGGAGAGACATACCTCGTGAGAAGTTTTGAACTCTATATAAAACCTCCTTCCTTCTTCAGTTTCGTCGCAGCAATCCATTTCAGCACCCATCAGAATACGGTGAGCTCCGAGATTGGTTTTGACAACTGAACAAAACTCAACATTGGAATCCACGTGATGTATTTCTGCACCATAGGCTCCGTCTGGATCTTCGGTTGCAAGGCTTTCGAAACAATAACCCAGTAACATCTGATGGAAAACATCATCGGGTGGTAGATTAGTAGCAAAAATGAAGAGTTACACCTTCTTCTGACCCTATTTTTCGAAACATTCCTAGCCACTAATAAAAATTATTAGGAATGAAAATGACGATTACCTGCGGCGAACTAAGTCACTCTGTGGCCTTTCCGGCAGTTTATGCACATCCAGATAAATGGTTCCGTTTCTCTTATGCACACCCATTTCCCAAGGTTCATGCCGGTTGTAAGCAGCACCCAGTATCTGAAAGAGATCAAGCAAAGCACAGCGAGTGATTAATAAATTTGAACCCATTGTCATTTCTTATTCAGTAATACCAAAAAAAAATTAGCAAATTGAGTTAACAAAGCAAATGAAATGCTGATGATCTTACATACCTTGTTTAGATTATTACGGAATGTCTGTCCAAAACAAAGCACAAAAAGAAAAGATTGAGATCATGTCTTCAAAGTAAAGAAAACGGATTGAAACACAGAAGCACTTCATACCACAAAATGAATGTTATCCAACGAAATGTTTTTTTCTCTAACACATCCAAGAAGGTCACCAAAAGCCCTCAGAGCCTAGATCTGCCTCAAACGAACAAAAATATGACTAAGATACCTCAAACTTATATACATCTTGCACATGTTCTAATACTTCCTAATAAAAAAAATACAGTGCCATTAACTCATTACCCCTTTTCTCAACAAAAGTATCATATCCTCGATTTAAATCTGCTTCAATATCTTCCGAAACATGACGCTTGAAAAGCATCTGGAAAGCAAGAACAAAACGGATACATATAAGCTGCGAATGATTTATATATAGAGTTATTAGGAAGAGAATTCAAAGAGGTAAAGAGAATTCAATGCACCATTGACGTTTCAGAAAACTAAGAGACAGTAAAGACTTAACCAAACCAAATAAACCAAAGATTGAGAAAACAGAACCAAGAAAACCAAGATCCTGTAATTCTCAGCAGTAACCCTAAGTTCAATTCTAGCCCATTTCTTGACAGGTTCATCGCTCACGTTACTCACCATAGCGGCGGAAACCACACTGACGGCATCAGTCATGTTTCTCACCATAGCTCAAATCAGACCAGCACACCTTTTGGTGTCCACCACGCCTCTGGATGGCTATGGATGTGAGGTGACGGAGCAGAGGTGGTTCTCGGATAGAGGCTTCGAGACGGCGGACATGGGAAATCCAGTTTCGTTTGGTCGGGGAAGTGGAGATCCATTTAAAAAGAATTCGAGGATGGAGAAATCGGAGACGGCAACGGCAACGTTCGTAGTGAGTGGAGGATGCAGTTGCGCTTGAGAGGCGGCGAATTCAGACGGGAGAAAGAGACCCATCGGAGAGGAGGCGTTTTCGGCGCTAGGTTTAGGAGTTGGTGCCGGAGAGGAAACGAATCCGATGGATCAATGTTTGGGATTTTTTGTAATTAATTAAAAATGCAAGGACTTATTCGAAAATAAGTTTTTTTTCTGTAAATAATAGAATGCTGCCAGTGTCGTTTTTATTGGAAGGGGATGATTGGACAGGTGTCACTCAACTGGAGAGTGATATCCTCTCATTTTTATATTATTATTAATTGAGAAGTACATTATAATGTTTGGATACAAGAATAAGACAAAACATTATTTGGATAGAAGAATAAATAGAAAACAATTGTTTGGATACAAGAATAATAACTTATAACAAACCGATGGTTTAGAAAACTTCCGTTTTCCAACTCTTAAAAAAATCTGCAAAAAAAATAATTAACATAATCTATCGATAATACCAAATCAATTAGAATATGATAGAATGATATTTGTAAAATTTTCAATAGTAAAATAGAAATACATCTAATTTAAATCAATTTCTGTTCGGTTTTTCTTTTTCAGAAATTTCTGATTGGTTTGGGTTTAGCTTAGGGTTTTCCGAATTTTTTGAATTTTGGGTTTTCGTGTTTAGACATATTAAAAAAGTTGGGGTATTTAAAAAAAAAAATATTTGGGTTTTTAGTTCGGATTCGGATTTCAGGTGAAAAACTTTAAGAGTTTTCGGGATTTGTTTTAGATTTCGGGTTTTCGGGTTTATACATATTAAAAAAGTTTAGGTTTTGAAAATTTTTGATTATAGTTTTTGGGTCGAGCTCGGGTTTATGATTTAGTTTTTCTTCACAAAACCGCAATGTCACACCGCGCGTTTGCGCGGGTTCTCTACTAGTTATATATAAGATCTAACAATCAACCGAATGAGTATAATATACCAAACGAATGTGTAACTAAAGACATATTTGCTCTGTTTCGTATTATTTGTCATTTTAGAGAGAATTATTTGTTTTACAAATAAAAAGAAACTTGCTACTATGTGAACTTGATGCAAACTATGTGATAAAACAATATGAATATAATTCAGATTTATGAATTTTGGATATAAACAGTGAAAACTAAGTGAAATGTAAAGTAGAATTCAGCCGTACAAATCGAGAGTGAGAACAGATCTATAGGTTTTAGTATGCATAAAATTTTATCGATTTTATATTACAACTATTATTTAGTAATAATAATAATAATAATAATAAAAAGATATTGTAGAAAGAACATTTTTTTTTAGTATTTTGGAATGAAATAAGACAAGATCAAATATGACGAGACGAAAAAAAAAAGAACTGGAGAAGAGGAGAATATTGTTTACTGCTTATTATATTAAGTGACGAGACGAGATCTTAAGGAATGGAAGAACGGGATAAGACGAGACATAAATTCCACCTACCTCTAATTATATTTAGGAGAAGAACGGAAAAAACGAAAAAAAACATGATGAGAGAGGACAAGACAGAAAGGTTGAACGGTACATAACGAAAAGAAATAGAATGTGACGGGATTGGACGTGAGGAGATAAAAAGGGACTTAATGAGATGGAAAGGGACGAGCCATGAATTTTTCCTAACCATAATTATATTTACAGACGAGATAGAGACAAAATAAAATGGAAAAGAACATAATATGATAGGATGGAATTGGATGGGGCGGACAGAACGAGTGGAACGGGACAAGATGAAAAGGAACCGAACTGAACAAAATTATGCTTAACCCTAATTATATTTAGGGAAGGAGACGAGAAGAAACGAAATGGGACATACTGTAACATCCATAAACCAAAAAAAATGGGAATTACGTCAGTTCAGTTTAAGTGATTTGGTTTGGACTGGTTTAGTGGAAAAAGCCCTAATTTGTGAAATAAAAGTGAGGAGCTGCCTCCTTTTTGTAATTTTTTGTGTGTGAACAGTAACATAAAAGAGAGAGAGGTTTCAAGGAGAAATTATGAGATTTTGGAGAGATTTCGTGACTGTTCATCGGGATACTGATCATCGGGGTACTGTTCATCGGGATACTGTTCATCGTCGGAATTCGGCACTGTTCATTGTCTTTCCTTCAGTTTCAATCCATTGTCAAGGTGAGTGCATGACTGTAGGTCCGCGATTTGCTAGATTCGATTTGGTTTGTGGTTGTTCTTGATGAGTTTATGTATTTAATTATTATTTCATGGTATTTTGGTTGTTTCTGTGATGAATTGTGTGGTTTAATCCGCTTTAATTGAATTTAATTTAATTTAATTGGTTTATCTTGGTTTAATTGGTTTATATTGATTTAAATTGATTTGATTAAGGTTAATTGTTGTAATTGAATTAAAATGTTTTAATTCAAATTGTTTGATTTATTTCGGATTTAGTTTAATAATGGTTAATTTAATTAATTCATTATATTAAAATAATTATTTTAAGTATTTTAAAATATGGAAAATTATTATTTAATTATAAGAATTATTTAATAATTGAGAAATGGAGTTTTAATTATTAATAATTATTTAATAATTGGAAAATGGTATTTAATAATTATTGGAGTTTATAAATATTATTAAATATCTAGTAATTGCGTAAATGGCCTGTAGGCAGAGTGATTGTCTCACTAAGTATTTATTAAATATTTATGAAACTCAATTCCAATGTGTTGCAGGTAAAAGATTTGTGTGATCGTGGAATCAAGGCTGAAGAGAGGGATGATAGGATGTTTATTGCTTTTATTTATTTTGCATTGTTTTGCTAGACTTGTTTAATTATTATTTGCTTCGGAAGAACTGATTTATTTTTTATTGATATTTATTTATTTAATTTGTTATAAAGACATTCGCTAGAATTGATTAGTATTTATTAAAAAAAGTGTTGGTTGTTTCATTTGGGGATGATAGGATGTTTATTGCTTTTATTTATTTTTCATTGTTTTGCTAGACTTGTTTAATTATTATTTGCTTCCGCTGAACTGATTTATTTGTTATTGATATTTATTTATTTAATTTATTTTAAAGACCTTCGCTAGAATTGATTAGTATTTATTATAAAAAAAAAGGTGTTGGTTGTTTCATTTTGGTATCAAAGCCTAGACGGTTTTAAGACTGATAGGTTGTAGTTAGTATCATCCCCTTCAGCTATAAGAGATTTCACGATGAGTTTATGTTTGTTTTGAGTTTTGGTTGCGTGTTCTAGTGTGCTCTTTTCGGTTCCATGAGTGAGATGGACTGAGTAGCTAGAGGCTGTGGCGCGAGAAGGCGCGGTGCTTGAGGCCGTGGTGGCAGAGCTAGAGGCCGTGGAGGCCGGGGCCGAGATTGTGGACTTCGGCGGATTCGGGAGAGAGTGTGGCGACTGCGTCGGTGACCCAGTCGGTATCCGTGGCGAGTGAAGCTAGTGTGGATGTCAGTGTTGGTTTGGGAGCGGGGGCTGTTCCGAGTGGGGGCGGTGCTCCGGCTCCGGGTCGAGATGACTTGGTGGTAGGTTTACTGACACAGTTATTGGCTCTTTTCCGCCAGTGGTTCCACAAGGGGCTCGGGGAGTTCCTCCAGTGGCAGTGGTACAGTAGAGGGCTGCAGAGGTTGTTCAGCCGCAGGGTGCGGGTTTGGTGGTTCCGCCCTATCTGGAGATTATGGGGCATATGTAGAGGATTGGTACGTCGTTCTTTGAGGGCGGAGTGGGGCCGGAGAGATCGGCGAGTGTTGTTTGAGACTAGAGCAGAATTTTCGGTCTATCAGTTGTCTGGTTTAGTATTAAGTAGAGTTAGCTGTCGACTATCTGAGTGGTGACGCGCATTTTTGGTGGTTGTACCTTGATCTTTTTGTCTGTGATAGAATTGTAGAGGTTCTTAACGCATGTGTTGCGTAATGACCTTGTTAGTGGGTGGTTTTGAGTCCCCCGTTTTATTCGGCTCTGGAGTATCAAATTGCTTCATTACACCGGAGCATGCCGAGAGGAGTGGCATCCGGAGTAGCGCGGGCGAGAGTGCGGGCATGGTCAAGGTGGCGGGAGGTGGATTCTTGTCTACTTTGGGCCGTGCTAGAGGAGTCGAGATCGAGATTGCGGGGCAGTCAATGCCAGCAGATTTGGTCATCAGTCCGGTGGAGCTGTATGATGTTATTCTCGGGATGGACTGGTTGTCTTACTACAGAGTTCATATGTATTGCTACAGAGGCAGAGTCGTCTTTGAGTGAGATGCAGGGAGGTTGGTTTATCAGGGAGTGAGACCGACTTCCAGGAGTATTGTGATATCTGCTATTCAGGCCGAGCAGTTGATAGACCGGGGCTGTGAGGCGTATCTGGCGATGATTTCTATGTCTGAGTCAGGAGTTGGAGTTGTTATGGGAGATATCGAGGTTGTCCAGGATTTCGAGGATGTCTTTCATTCATTGAAGGGATTACCACCATCTCGGTTTGATCCTTTTGATATACCTCTATTTTACCTACTTTTTATGCTATTTTACTATGGTTTTCTAATGGTTTTCTAGTGGATTCTTGTGTTAAAAGGTAGTTTTTATGGATTTATAGTGCAAAGAGTCATTTTAGGTAAAAAGGTGCATTATGGAGCAAAACAGGAGATTTGGACTCTAAACCAGTTCAATGCCCCTGCATCAACTTTGGATGGAGCTAGAAAAAGATCTACTCAATGGATTTCATCAAGACCAGTTCCCTGCGTGCTCTGATTGAGTTAACTTTCCAACGCAACTGGAATGGCTTCATTTGGATGAGTAGAAAAGGAGTTATAGCCAAAAGAGTGAAGGCTGCTCCAGACGGCCATATCGAGAATCAGCGTCCGAACGCGCAGACCGGCTGGCCGAGGAACGAATGTTCCGCGCTCGGCCAAAACCGTTCCGTCCGACTGAAGTCTCGGCCAAAGTTCAAACCATCCGGCCGATCACGCAATCACGACCCGGGAAACATTGTCCCGCGGTCGGCCAAGTTTCAACGCCACGCCAAGCCGCGCACGACCAAGCGCGCGAGCCGGGAAACAAGCCTCGCGGCCGCGCAACTCGTTCCGCGTACCACGGCCGATGCATCCGTCCGAGCCGGGAAGACGTCCCACGTCCGGCCGAGAAACCATCGGCCAAACTCATCCGTCGACCAGCCGGCCGACCGTAAACATCCGGCCCGACCGTTCCGACTCGGCCAAAGACCCGACTGTCCGGCCGACCGTCCCGACGACCGTCCGAACGCCGCGGTCGACCCGAAGCCGTTTTTGAAGCCCAATCCGCACAATTCAAGCCCAAAGCCGGCGCCGACCTAGCTAGATTAGGTTTAGCCGCTCTTCATACTTAGAGCATTATAAATACTTCTTTTTAGCCTTGTAACTCAAGAAGGAGAGAGACCACAATCTATTTTACATCTTAATAAAGTTTTGCTTGCTTTTACTTTGTTCTTGCTTGTTACTCTTTCTAGAGAGGATTCGAATCTCTGTTCTTATGAATATGAATTCGTGTTCCTTCTCTATGTCTGAGTAGTTTACTTGTTAAGTGATAGGAAGTCAAAGGATAGCATTCATGTATGCTTGATGATTGATCACAATTAGGGTTTTACTTATAATCTCCATCTTTGCTTATACTTAATGCTTGTTGTTAATCTGGCCAATTAGCATATGCCTTTAGGTTGATTTGAGCCTCGACAGTGCTGTATCATTCGCCTGAACTAGTATTTGGTGGGCAATCTCTTTTAGACTGCGACAGTTGATCTACTTGTAGGTTGTGAACAATTGATCTTGATCGAACTAATGCTTGATTTAATCACCTAGGGACATACCAAAAGTTTAGCGACTAGGTAGATTAACAAAGGGGTCGGAGCCTCGACAGTGGAATGATCATACCATAGTGTTTCAAGTTCTAGATTAGCACCTAAGTGCGGTAACCCTAATTGATTGATTTCATGCTTCATCATTGTGAAAGGTGATGTGCGGGATCAGGTCTTCCCTTTTCCTATCCCTGATTCTGCAAGTGCACAGGTCAGAAGTAGTAAACGGGTATCGAACACGAGGACCAGATTGCACACTACAAACTATGAGATTAAGAACAAGCTAGGGCAAAAGTATAAGTTGGTTGAGTGCAGAGAAAGTAAAGCATGCAAGTAATAAAGAAAGTGAGATCAATAGGAGAGAAGGCTAAGCAATAGGATAGTCTTGAGATAAGCAATTCAAGAAGCATGAAATCAATCAATTAGGGTTACCGCACTTAGGTGCTAATCTAGAACTTGAAACACTATGGTATGATCATTCCACTGTCGAGGCTCCGACCCCTTTGTTAATCTACCTAGTCGCTAAACTTTTGGTATGTCCCTAGGTGATTAAATCAAGCATTAGTTCGATAAGATCAATTGTTCACAACCTACAAGTAGATCAACTTTCGCAGTCTAAAAGAGATTGCCCACCAAATACTAGTTCAGGCGAATGATACAGCACTGTCGAGGCTCAAATCAACCTAAAGGCATATGCTAATTGGCCAGATTAACAACAAGCATTAAGTATAAGCAAAGATGGAGATTATAAGTAAAACCCTAATTGTGATCAATCATCAAGCATACATGAATGCTATCCTTTGACTTCCTATCACTTAACAAGTAAACTACTCAGACATAGAGAAGGAAACGAATTCATATTCATAAGAACAGAGATTCGAATCCTCTCTAGAAAGAGTAACAAGCAAGAACAAAGTAAAAGCAAGCAAAACTTTATTAAAGATGTAAATAAATTGTGGTCTCTCTCCTTCTTGAGTTACAAGGCTAAAAAGAAGTATTTATAATGCTCTAAGTATGTAAGCGGCTAAACCTAATCTAGCTAGGGCGGCGCCGGCTTTGGGCTTGAATTGTGCGGATTGGGCTTCAAAAACGGCTTCGGGTCGACCGCGGCGTTCGGACGGTCGTCGGGACGGTCGGCCGGACAGTCGGGTCTTTGGTCGAGGTCGGAACGGTCGGGGCCGGATGTTTAACGGTCGGCCGGCTTGGTCGAGCGGTTTGAGTTTGGCCGAAGGATTCTCGGCCGGACGTGGGTCGATCTTCCCGGTCGGACGAGTGCATCGGCCGTGGTACGCGGAACGAGTTGCGCGGCCGCGGCTTTGTTTCCCGGCTCGCGCGCCTTGGTCGTGCGCGGCTTGGCGTGGTTGCTTGCTTGGCCGACCGCGGGACAATGTTCCCGGGTCGTACTGCGTGATCGGCCGGATGGCTTGAACTTTGGCCGAGACATCAGTCGGACGGAATTCGGTTTTGGCCGAGCGCGGAACAATCGTTCCTCGGCCAGCCGGTCGAGGGGCAAGGGGAAATCTTGATATGGAATTGACATACCACTTGGGCGGTGGTGATGATGGTGGTGATGGTGGTTGATTGACTCCATGAGGGGCAAGGGGAAATCGAGCTTTCCTGAAGAGTTGGTGTATCTCTTCTTTCTTTTCACTAGTTGTGAAAAAGAACTCCACTAGACCATGATTATCCCAAGCTTCTTCAAAAGTGACATAGAATGGAAGTGATTTCACCTTAGCATTGAACTCCTTAAGCTTCATGGGGCTTATCTTGTTGGGATCAATAGGATCATAGTGCCAAACATCTTCTTCTTCAGTAGGTGGTGATGGTCTTTGCATTGCTTCCAGTCTTGGAAGTGCAGAAGCTTGACTTCTTGGTGAGAAACGAGGGTCTCTAGGGCTTGGTGTATCCATGCTCTGTTTTGGGGAAGCATGAAATCAATCAATTAGGGTTACCGCACTTAGGTGCTAATCTAGAACTTGAAACACTATGGTATGATCATTCCACTGTCGAGGCTCCGACCCCTTTGTTAATCTACCTAGTCGCTAAACTTTTGGTATGTCCCTAGGTGATTAAATCAAGCATTAGTTCGATCAAGATCAATTGTTCACAACCTACAAGTAGATCAACTGTCGCAGTCTAAAAGAGATTGCCCACCAAATACTAGTTCAGGCGAATGATACAGCACTGTCGAGGCTCAAATCAACCTAAAGGCATATGCTAATTGGCCAGATTAACAACAAGCATTAAGTATAAGCAAAGATGGAGATTATAAGTAAAACCCTAATTGTGATCAATCATCAAGCATTCATGAATGCTATCCTTTGACTTCCTATCACTTAACAAGTAAACTACTCAGACATAGAGAAGGAAATCGAATTCATATTCATAAGAACAGAGATTCGAATCCTCTCTAGAAAGAGTAACAAGCAAGAACAAAGTAAAAGCAAGCAAAACTTTATTAAGATGTAAAATAGAATTGTGGTCTCTCTCCTTCTTGAGTTACAAGGCTAAAAAGAAGTATTTATAATGCTCTAAGTATAAGAAGCGGCTAAACCTAATCTAGCTAGGTCGGCGCCGGCTTTGGGCTTGAATTGTGCGGATTGGGCTTCAAAAACGGCTTCGGGTCGACCGCGGCGTTCGGACGGTCGTCGGGACGGTCGGCCGGACAGTCGGGTCTTTGGCCGAGTCGGAACGGTCGGGGCCGGATGTTATGACGGTCGGCCGGCGTGGTCGGCGGATAGAATTGGCCGATGGAAATCTCGGCCGGACGCGGGAGTTTCCCGGCTCGGACGGAGCGTTCGGCGGTACGTGAGTGAGTTGCGCGGCCGCGAGGCGTTACTCCCGGCTCGCGCGCTTTGGTCGTGCGCGGGTGGCGTGGCGTTGTGGCTTGGCCGACCGCGGGTTGTTTCCCGGGTCGTGATGCGTGATCGGCCGAGCGGTTTGGACTTTGGCCGAGACTTCAGTCGGACGGAATGGTTTTGGCCGAGCGCGGAACATCGTTCCTCGGCCAGCCGGACTGCGCGGTTCGGCGCTGATTCTCGATATGGCCGTCTGGAGCAGCCTTCACTCTTTTGGCTATAACTCCTTTTCTACTCATCCAAATGAGCCGTTCCAGTTGCGTTGGAAAGTTAACTCAATCAGAGCACGCAGGGAACTGGTCTTGATGAAATCCATTGAGTAGATCTTTTTCTAGCTCCATCCAAAGTTGATGCAGGGGCATTGAACTGGTTTAGAGTCCAAATCTCCTGTTTTGCTCCATAATGCACCTTTTTACCTAAAATGACTCTTTGCACTATAAATCCATAAAAACTACCTTTTAACACAAGAATCCACTAGAAAACCATTAGAAAACCATAGTAAAATAGCATAAAAAGTAGGTAAAATAGAGGTATATCAACTCCCCCAGACTTAGATCTTTGCTTGTCCCCAAGCAAAAAGAATCTAAACTAGTGAAGAGGTTTTGAAAAACGTGGGAACTCTCTTGCTTCTTTGAAAATCCTGTGAAAGGTTCCTTTCCTGTATTCCACTAAGAACATAGTCAACATAAGGTTAGCTTCACATACACCCTGCAAGTTTAGCAACAATACCAACCCAACTAGTCTCATCCAGCAATCCAAACTCTCTATTGTTAACCTCTTGCAGAAATTTAAAGCGTGAGTTCTTTATCAAGGGAAAATCGATCAATTGAACTTGTTCTTACCCACTTGATCTTCTCCAAGATTGTCTTTGAAGTGCAATGAGTTCCTTTCCTCTCTCTTTCTCACATCAGAACTTTGAAAGGTCAATTTCTCCCTACTTTTCTAGGGTATCATTTTATTTTTTCTATTGACCTTTCTTTCAACCACAGGATAAGTCTTTAGCTTGTTCCTTGTTTGATTTAGGTATTCCATAAGACATGAAGGTACAGACATATGCATTCCTCATGCTTACTTGTTTTCCTTGTGCTCTTTGAGCTTTTCTCATAAACATTACTTACCATTTGGGATGGGAGAGAGAGGTGAACTCTTTAGACAAATCTCATTGAAAATCAAGCAAGGAACTGTCGACATGTATGCCAATCCCCTTGACAAGAGTTATTAAGATTGATTAAGGGTGAGGTTAACTCTAGATTGCTTGGTTACCTTAGAAATTTCGCTGAGCTAGCATGCGATCCACTCTAGGAGCTTCTGTTAGGCTTGTGCCTTCAGCTGATGTTTGCTCTAGGGTCATAGATTGTTAGCATGACACTATCAAATCTCAAAGCAAGTTCATTGTTCCCGGACTGGTTTTGACTCAATAAAACAGAAGTTTTGAAAAAGTGGGTTAGGAAAAACCAATTATAAGATCAAAACAACCATGAACAAACACATTAGTACCGACAATCCCCCCAGACTTAACTTGCACCGTCCCGGTGAAAGAAAATCCAATTAAGGGAGTTAAAGAAAGAGGTAATAAAGTGGTTGTGAATGTAAAAAGAAAGATGTTGATGCGGAGTCAGATTTTACCAAGATCGGATTACTAGATGCGCGGTAAAGCAATCAGCATTAGTTAAGTGCACAAGACGAGACAAAGACTCTAATATAATCCCTAGCTAATCATTGAAATCAAAGATCATGCAAGCAACTCATTGAATAGTAACCCTAGCAACCTAACTAGTGGATTACTCAGACATGATCAAAGCAAACACACATAGAGATGAAGAAAACATGATTGCAATAAAACTTAGAGTAGGAAATCGAAATACAAGGGCGGCTCTCTTTCTCAAGAGGCTAAAAATCCATATATATAGTGCTAGGTCTTTCTAGAGGCGGCTTAGGGTTAAGCCGGGCTTGAAAACATAAGTTTGGGCTTCAAAAAGGGCTTCGGGTCGACCGCGGCGTTGGGACGGTCGTGCGGGACGATCGGCCGGACAATCGGGTTGTGGCCGAGTCGGAACGGTCGGGGCCGGACGGATTCGCGGTCGGCCGGCGTGGTCGGACGGATGAGATTTGGCCGATGGTTTCTCGGCCGGACGTGGGACGTTCTTTCCCGGCTCGGACGGATGCATCGGCCGTGGTACGCGAACGGGTTGCGCGGCCGCGAGGCTTGTTCCCGGCTCGCGCGGCTTTGGTCGTGCGCGGCGTGGCGTGAGCGTTGGCTTGGCCGACCGCGGGACAATGTTTCCCGGGTCGTGTTGCGTGATCGGCCGGTCGGTTTGGACTTTGGCCGAGACTTCAGACGGACGGATATGACTTTGGCCGAGCGCGAACATAGTTTCCTCGGCCAGCCGGACTGCGCGGTTGGGCGCTGATTCTCGATAGAGCCGTCTGGACAGTCTTCACTCTTTTGGTTATAACTCCTTTTCTACTCATCCAAATTAGGCCGTTCCAGTTGCGTTGGAAAGTTAACTCAATCAGAGCACGCAGGGAACTGGTCTTGATGAAATCCATTGAGTAGATCTTTTTCTGGGCCCTCTTAAAGTTGGTGCTTGTGCATGGAGCGGCTTGAAGTGCAAATCCTATGGTTTTGCTCCAAAATGCATCATTTCACCTGTTTAGACTCTAGACACTATAAACACAGTAAAACTACCTTTTTAGATAGAAAACCTGCCAAAAACCATTAGAAAACAATGCTAAAACAGTATAAAAAGTGGGTAAATTAGAGGTATATCAACTCCCCCAGACTTAGATCTTTGCTTGTCCTCAAGCAAAAAGAATCTAAATCCGTGAAAGAGGTTTGAAAACGTGGAAACTCCCTTGCTCTTTTGAATATCCTGTGAAAGGTTCCTTTCCTGTATTCCACTATGAACATAGACAACATAAGGTTAGCTTCACATACACCCTGCAAGTTTAGCGAACAATACCAACCCAACTAGTCTCATCCAGCAATCCAAACTCTCTATTGCTAACCTCTTGCATAAATTTAAAGCGTGAATTCTTTATCAAGGGGACATCGATCAATTGAACTTGTTCTTACCCACTTGATCCTCTCCAAGATTGCCTCTTTAAGTGCAATGAGTTCTTTTCCTCTCTCTTTCTCACATCAGAACTTTGAAAGGTCAATTTCTCCCTACTTTTCTAGGGTATCATTTTATTTTTTCTATTGACCCTTCTTTCAACCACAGGATAAGTCTTTAGCTTGTTCCTTGTTTGACTAAGGTATTCCATAAGACATGAAGGTACAGACATATGCATTCCTCATGCTTACTTGTTTTCCTTGTGCTCTTTGAGCTTTTTCTCATAACATTACTTACCATTTGGGATGGGAGAGAGAGGAGAACTCTTTAAAGATTAGACAAATCTTATTGAAAATCAAGCAAGGAACTGTCGACATGTATGCCAACCCCCTTGACAAGAGTATTAAGATTGATTAAGGTGAGGTTAACTCTAGATTGCTTGGTTACCTTAGAAATTTTGCTGAGCTAGCATGTCGATCCACTGTAAGAGCTTCTGTTAGGCTTGTGCCTTTAGCTGGTTTCTGCTCTAGGGTCATGGATTGTTAGCACAACACTCTCAATTCTCAAAGCAAGTTCATAACTTCCGGACTGGTTTTTGACTCAATAAAACTTTTTGAAAAACATGAAACAAAGTGAATAAAACATAAGAAAAGAAAGAAAAATGCATTAGTAACACAATAAAACTCCCCCCAGACTTAACTTGCACCGTCCCGGTGAAAGCAAATCACATTAAGGTGAGAGGTAATATTCAAAGTAAAAGAAAAATAAAGAAAAATTCATTAAAATGAGATAGGGATAGAAAATGGAGATTTGTAAGTGTCCATTGCACTAAGTACCACTTGAGATGACTATGTGTGGCAGTGAGAAGAACTCTCTTCCTCATCTATGGGGTCATCGCCTTCTGAACCAAGCTCTGAGTCTAGTGAGAACTCACCAAGGTCAGGCTCATATGGCTCTCTAGCGGTGGAAGAAGGGCGAAAGAGTCTCTCCGGTGCAATGTGGCGAACTACACGGACTAGGCGTGAGATGAAGCGAGATTGGCACTCCACTATCTTCTCCAGCTTGTTAACACGGTCTAGAGCTTGTGCGCGGCCATGCCAGTAGTGAGAACATGGCGTTCTTGGAGCGGCGTTGAGTCTTGACTGCATGCTGAAGTGTGCGATAGGTGAGCATGGGGAATGATGGTTTCTCACTTGATGGAACATAGAAGTCTTCCTCATTGGGCTGGAAAGTGACAACTCCTGAGCGTAGGCTTGGGATGTCTTCATGTGGCAGCAAGACAAGGGAAGTGTTGGCTGGACCAATTGGAAACTCATAGCAAAACCGAGTTGGGTCTTTAGTCCAACGGTTTAGGAAGTGGATGTGCTGAAGAGCATGGAGATCCAAAGGGGTTGGCTTGGGTAGTGGCTCATAGTTGGGAATGTCAATCCCCACATGTTGTACTATGGCCGTGATAAGCCTCCCAAAACGAACACAAAGCTTCTTGTTGCCTTCCAAGTCTTGAGCTAGCTTCCTCACATTGATGAATGTCTTGGCAAGTAAAAGTCCAAGGTTGGCCTTGTACTCATGCTTGATGAATGGTGTGGTGAGGATGTAGAACTCATCAGTTGTGACCTTGTTGGCTTCTTGTTTGCATTGGAAAGTGGTGGAGATGAGGCGGTGCACATAGCGAATGGCTGGATGAGTGATTCTAGACACCTTTGACCTTGAAGGCAAGAATGGTTCATTTGGCAAAGTGTGTCCAATCAGATCCCGATAGATGAGGCAGATGTCAGGAAGACTGCTTTCAGGACGCGTTATGGGCATTTTGAGTTTGTGGTTATGCCTTTCGGTTTGACTAACGCGCCGGCAGCCTTCATGAGATTGATGAACGACGTGTTCAGGGAGTATTTGGACGTGTTCGTCATCTTTTCGATGACATTCTGGTATACTCGAGGAGTCAGGAGGAGCATGCGACTCACTTGAGGTTGGTTCTGGAGAAGCTTCGGGAGCAGAAGCTTTTTGCTAAGTTGAGCAAGTGCAGTTTCTGGCAGCGAGAGATGGGATTTCTTGGCCACATTGTTTCTGCAGAGGGAGTTTCTGTGGATCCGGCTAAGATTGAGGCTATCAGAGATTGGCCTAGACCTAGTAGTGCCACAGATCAGGAGTTTTCTGGGTTTGGCAGGATACTACAGGAGGTTCGTCAAGGGGTTTGCTACCATGGCGCAGCCGATGACGAAGTTGACTGGGAAGGATGTCCCGTTTGTTTGGTCAGCTGAGTGTGAGGAGAGCTTTAGTCAGCTCAAGGAGATGTTGACTACTACACCAGTGTTGGCGTTACCCGAGCCAGGGAAGCCTTACATGGTGTATACAGATGCTTCAGGCATTGGTCTTGGTTGTGTGCTGATGCAGGAGGGCAGAGTGATAGCATATGCTTCGAGACAGTGGCAGGGCAGTGAGCGTAACCGTCCTACACATGACTTAGAGTTGGGAGCAGTGATCTTCGCGTTGAAGATTTGGAGGTCTTACTTGCTAGGTGAGACAGTACAGGTCTTCACAGATCACAAGAGTTTACAGCATATCTTCACTCAGCCGATGATGAACGCGAGACAGACGCGCTGGGTTGAGTTCTTGGCGGATTATCAGGTGAACATTAACTACCATCCGGGCAAGGCTAACCTAGTGGCGGACGCGTTGAGTAGACGGAGGTATGATTCCGCAGTTGAGCGAGATGTGGAGTCTCTAGTTGGCGAGATCAGTACCTTGCGTTTGTGTGCCATTTCGCAGGAGCCTTTGGGTTTAGAGGCAGTGGATCAGGCGGATCTACTTAGCAGGATCAGAGTTGCTCAGCAGAGTGATCAGAGTTTGCTGGATGCGACGAGAGTGACTGGTTCTGAGTATGAGGTCTCTGCGAATGGGACTATCTTGGTTCGTGGGCGAGTTTGTGTGCCTAAGGATGTGGAGTTGAGCCCTTTCTGAACAAATAGGGTTCATCCCAATAGTAGTGAACCACATCTTTGAAGAACTTCTTTCTCTGGTAACCACTCCATCCACTTGGAACTTCCCTGCACACCAAGTAGTTCAAAAGTCTGCGTACCACGGAACCTCTCTCCTCTTGCTATTCACGCCTCCTCCAGCCGGCACTTGGTCAAATAACCTCTATCCACGATCTTAGCAGCCATAAGTTGCTCCTCAGGCAAAGAGTCATCGATGGGAACATCTCCTCTCCTCAATCTTGATAGATGATCGGCCACGCTATTCTCGGTGCCTTTCTTGTCGACGATCTCGATATCGAACTCTTGAAGCAAGAGAACCCATCTAATCAGCCTCGGTTTAGCATCTTTCTTGGTGTAGAGATACTTGAGAGCTGCGTGATCGGTGTGAACTATGACCTTTGAGCCCACAATGTAGCTCCTGAACTTGTCAAAAGCAAACACCACGGCTAGTAATTCCTTCTCGGTTGTCGCGTAACGGGTTTGAGCATCGTCTAGCGTTCTGCTTGCGTAGTAGATGACGTTCATCTTCTTATCCACCTTCTGACCAAGCACTGCTCCAACTGCGAAGTCTGAGGCATCACACATTATCTCAAAGGGGCAAGTCCCAATTTGGAGCTTGGACAATTGGTGCGCTAACAAGGGCTTCCTTGATCTTCAAGAAAGCTTGGCTACACTCTTCATCAAAGATGAACTCTGTTTCTTTGCATAAGAGTCTTGTGAGTGGCCTGCTATCTTAGAAAAATCTTTGATGAAGCGCCTGTAGAAACCCGCATGTCCCAAGAAGCTTCTCACATCCTTAACTGATTTTGGCTCCCCAAGTTGCACCATTACTTCTATCTTTGCCTTGTCCACTTCAATGCCTTTCTCTGAGATCTTGTGGCCAAGGACTATCCCCTCTTTCACCATAAAATGGCACTTTTCCCAATTCAGAACCAAGCTTGTTTCCTCACATCTTTTCAGCACCCTACATAGATTAGACAAACAAGAGGAAAAAGAAGAGCCATAGACCGAGAAAGTCGTCCATGAAGACCTCAACCATTTCCTCTATTAGATCCGAAAAGATTGAAAGCATGGCTCTTTGAAACGTTGCTGGGGCATTACATAATCCAAACGGCATTCTTCGATATGCGAAGGTGCCATAAGGACATGTAAATGTGGTTTTTCCTGGTCATTTGGATGGATTGGAACCTGGAAAAAACCACTGTAGCCATCCAAGAAACAATAAAATGGATGGCATGCCAACCTTTCAAGCATTTGGTCAATGAATGGCAAAGGAAAATGATCTTTCCTTGATGCAGAATTTAACTTACGATATCAATGCACATTCTATGTCCAACTATTGTCCTACTTGGGATCAATTCATTCTTTTCGTTCTTGATAACAGTAATCCCACCCTTTTTTGGGACGCAATGTACTGGAGAAACCCAAGTACTGTCCGAAATAGGGTAAATGATTCCTGCATCAAGAAGCTTCAAGATTTCTTTCTTTACTACTTCTTTAAGATTGGGGTTTAACCTACGCTGATGTTCAATAGATCCCTTTGATTCATTTTCAAGATGGATCCTGTGAGTGCATAGAGTAGGGGAGAGACCCTTGATATCGTCCAGCGAATATCCAAGAGCTCTCCTGTACTTTCGCAGCTCAACGAGGAGGGTTTCAAGCTCATGAGGGGTTAATGCATCATTGACAATGACAGGGTATGTGGAGTTAGAGCCTAAGAACGCATACCTGAGCCCCTTTGGGAGTGGCTTGAGATCGACCTTGGGAGCCTTAAGCTCGGACCAGTCATCGTCCGTGCCTTGCTCTTGAGAGCTTTCCTCTTGGTTTGGACTCTAGAGCAAACAGGTTCTCAACCTGTTTGTCATCCCGGATGCTTTCGTTTCTGATGACCAACTCTCAAAGCCTATCTTCTTTTGCTGCTCTGTGTGAGTCCATAAGCCAAGCATAACCCATACTCTCTGCTTGTAGACACCCAAATGCCTCATTATCCTTAGTCAGAGCCAGCTGCAGCTTATCCTCAACTCCCAATTCTTCCAAGTAGTCATCGGCTAGCTGCTCAAGTGTTTCAATGTAAAATGACTCGCCATTGATAGTTGGTTGCTTCATAACATCTTTTACATTGAACACCATCTTGCAGTCTTTACCCAAATTCAGCTCAATCTTGCCTCTTCTCACGTCTATTATAGCTCCAGCAGTGGCAAGGAAAGGTCTTCCCAAAATCAGAGGGTCTTTGGGCTCTTCATCCATCTCTACCACCTTGGCTTCCCACCTTGAGTGGCATATCTTCAAGCATGCCTACTGGAAGCTTAACTGATCTATCAGCAAGGATCAGAGAGAAATGGCACTCCTTGTATTTCTCAAAACCCAAACGCCTTGCCACAGTCAAAGGCATTATGCTTACACTTGCTCCCAAATCACACAAACTCTTCTTGAAAGCTAATGGTCCCTAGGAACAGGGAGAGTGAAGCTTCCAGGATCACCAAGCTTCTTTGTTACTGTCTTGCTTTGAATTATAGCACTACACTCTTGAGACAATACCACCATGCCTTGCACTTCCTTGGTTCTCTCCAAAATGGCATCTTTCAAAAATTTCTGATAAGGCTTGATCATCATGAGAGCGTCTACAAAAGGGATTTTCAGGTTGATCTCTGACAATTTGCTGATCAAAACTTTCCTGCATTTCTCCGCCATTTGTTTCTTGAAACGTGTTGGAAAAGGCAGCATTGGTTTGAATGGTGGGGAACAAAAAGAGTTTCCCTCCTCTTTTTTTCCTTTGATGGTTCTGCTGCTGTCTCTCTGCTTCCAGGTTCTGGTTCCACTGACTTTCTCAACTCTCTCCTCAGCTTCAATGTCGACTGACTCCTCCTCCTCTTGAATCGCAACGTCCTCGTTGCTTCTTGATGGTACCACTCTCTCCGGAAGAACTCTCCCACTCTTAAGAGTAATTGCTTGCACATACTCTTTGGGTTTGCGATTGCTTTTCCAGGAAGCATTCCCTTTGAAGAAGAAGGTATGTTGTGGCTCTTAGCTTCCAAGTGTTGAACTTTGAGTTCAAGATTCCAACTTCTTGTTGAGGTCATTGTAAGAGCAATCTACTTGTTGTTGATCTCGGCGAGCTTGGTGTTGAGCTCAGTAGCTCCACTTGTTTGTCCCTTGATAAGTTGTTGAAGCATTGTCTTCATATCAGAGTCTTGACTTGAGCTACTCCTGCTTGAGCTTGAGTGAGCCTTGATTCTGATTACCAAAAACCTTTGGTGGTAACCTCGCTTGAAGTAAACTGTTTGTTGTCCCCTTGGTTTTGGTTTTGTTGAGGTGGATACACTTGGTCTTGAGGATTCTCACATTGGTGCTGCGATAAGAGAGGTTCGTGTTGTTGTTTGTGTTGTAACCTTTGTAGTAACCTCCCTGGTTGCTCATATAGCACACTTCCTCAGTTTTGGTCCTCCTCCTCTTGGTTCACATCATCCTCACAAACAAAGTGAACTTGCTTTTGCTGGCCAGTCAAGATCTTGTCAAGCTTGTCATTCAATGTCTTTGATCTCCTTCTTGTGCTTCTCATCATTGACTGAGCTATCACTTCGATCATACTCCTCTGGATAGTTTCCATCACTAAGAGCAACATTCTCCACCAATGTGAGACCTTGATCCACATCCATTCCGATAAAGTGACCATTATTAGCTGAAGAAGTACATGGGAAGTCAAAGCATTGGAGAAGGAAGTTCAATCCGTCTCCATGATCCACCCCAAGCCTAAAAGGGCAATGAAAGTCAAGCTATGAGACTCAAAACAAGCTCACTTGGGAGGAAGTCCCATGAATATCCTTTGTAAATAGTTTTACTTTTATCTGGTTTTTGCTTTTATCTAGTGTGTTTTGTAGGTTGGAGCAAGAAGAGAGCTGAGAGTAAGTAGAAGAGTTGGAAATGGGCAGTTCTATCAGGGACATTGCTTGTCCTAGTGCGAATAGAACAACTGCCTAAATCCACAACTCCTTTGCCTCTACTCTCAGCCAAACGGGGCCCAATTCAAAGCAATCGGGTTGTCAATCAGGTTCCTAATCGGTTTTAAAACCCGATGACAACCCGCATCAGTAAGTGACCCGTTTCTTTTTGAATTTTAAAACCCGAAGAAACCCTTTCTCCCTTTTATTTTAAAATTTGGGTTTCTTCCTCTTCAAAAAGATTTTTCCCGATTTTCTTCACACAAATCTCGGATTTCTCTGTTTCTCAACCAAAATTCGAATTTCAAAGCTCAAAACTCTTTAAACCCGCCGCTCATGTTAACCCGACTCGATGATCCAAGAACGCATCCGTATGGGGTCCAAGAACGCATCCGTATCTTGAGGAGGATGCAGTTCATGTCAATGCGTTACTCACATCCGGAAACCATCAAGGAGCTGGGAATAGAGGAGGATGTAAACGATATTCTCTACTACACTGAGCTCAGAGAATTCACAAAGTTGGCCCTCCCGGCGTACAGAGAACCAGCGATAGAGTTCCTCGCGTCCATGAAGCTTAAGAAACATCCTCAAGAGGCAACCGCTGAGCTCAAGAGAGATGGGATCGGATACATCACCTTCACGCTCCTAGGACAAGAGTATCTGTTCAGCATGTTGGAGCTGGAGACCATTTACAAGTTAGAAGAGGATGTGGGTCTTGACACCGAGATGTGTGTGCCAGCAACAGAACTCCATGCCCTTTGGAAGATCATAAGCTCAAGGTCCTATCAGATTTCCAAGAACAAGAGCGGTCACATCAAGAACCCGGCCATACGCTACGCTCATAAGGTGATCGCTAACACTCTCTTTGCAAGACATGACTGCTCAAATGTCACAACGCAAGAGCTTGAGCTGCTTGACACCGGCATAATCCAGAAGCTTGAAACTCTGGAAGACGGGGAAGAAATGAAAGGAGACTTGAGGCACACAAGCAAAGCTGTTGTGATGGTAAACTCCTTCATGCACGTCATGAGGAATGCAGAGCTGTCCTATGAACAAGGCAAGATCAAGGAGGCACACTTGGTGATTGGTAGCCTGATCACTCCGATCCTCCTTGCCACCAAAGTCAAGCTCCCAGCTCCTTCTCACCCGCCTACGTTTATGGACCTCGCCTATCTGAACAAGACTTGGTTCCTGCGTGGAATGCACGACGGCAAGCATGTGTATCGCTTTGAGCATCCCGCATTTGGCATCTCAAAAGTTCTACTACCAAACGTCGAGCTCACAAACACCAATAACCGGGAAGGAATCTTGTTTCTCCCGACTGCGGATCAACTGTTCATGGATAGAGGCGACACAACGGTTGAGGAAGAACAAGGGAGAGAAGAAGTGAGCCTTCGGAGAGATGACCAAACGAGCTTTGTCAGTTTGACTTCATCCCTTACAACGCGAGTGGAAGCGTTTCGGTGATTGTCAAGGCACACGAGCATATTGGCATGCTTCAAAGGTGGTGCAAGAAACAGGATGAGGTGATCAAGAAACTCACCGAGACAGTCAATGTCCTCAAAGCGAAACTCTCCTACAAGTCCCCTGAAGCAATCAAAACAACATCTCCGACCAAAACCGCAGAGCCATCGTTGAGGAGAAGCAAGCGGAAGAAAAAATACGACGCATCGCCACCTCCAACGTCTTCCACCGATCCAATTGACCTTGATGACATTACCACACCACCCTCCCCGGATCAGTAGAAGGTACTGATATACCTCTATTTTACATGCTTTTTATACTGTTTTAGTTTGGTTTTCTAATGGTTTTTGGCAGGTTTTCTATCTAAAAAGGTAGTTTTATTGGATTTATAGTACTTAGAGTCTAAACAGGTGAAATGATGCATTTTGGAGCAAAACCATAGAATTGGCGCTTCAAGCAGCTCCATACCCAAGCATCAACTTTGAAGAGGGCCCAGAAAAAGATCTACTCAATGGATTTCATCAAGAATAGTTCCCGCGTGCTCTGAGTGAGTTAACTCTCCAACGCAATTGGATTGGCATCATTTGGATGAGTAGAAGTGAAGATATGATCAAAATAGTGAAGACTGGTCCAGACGGCTTTATCGAGCATTCGCGTCCTAGCCGCGCACACCGGCCAATCGTGGAACGAACGTACCGCGATCGTCCCGCGCACATCATCCGCATCCCGCCAAGTCCACGGCCGAGCTCACGTCCCGACCCGGAAACAACGTCCCACGGTCGAGCGTTCCTTAGCTCGCCACCACAAGCCGTGCACGACCGCGCCGCGCGAACAGAAGGCAACTGCTCGCGGCCGCGCGACACAACTCACGTACCGCGGCCGACCCATCCGTCCGACCAGGAAGGCATCGTCCCCGTCCGGCCAAGATTCATCGGCCAAAACTCTTCATCCGTCCGACCCGTCGGCCGAACACGAAAACTCTCGGCCACGATCGTTCCGACCGTGCTGATAGCCGACTACGACCCGATGACCGGGCGACCGTCCGAACGGTCCGATCGACCCGAAGCCCGTTTTGAAGCCCGTTTCACACGTTTTCACAGCCCGGCTTGACCTAATGCCGCCTCTGAAGCCCTAGCATTATAAATACAACTTTTTAGCCTCTTGAGAAGAGAGCCGCCCTTGTATCACGATTTTCATACTTGAGTTTTATTGCAATCATGTTTTCTTCATCTTTATGTGTTATTGCTTTGATCATGTCTGAGTAATCCACTAGTTAGGTTGCTAGGGTTACTAATCAATGAGTTGCTTGCATGATCTTTGATTTCGATGTTTAGCTAGGGATTATCATAGAGTCTTTGTCTCGTCTTGTGCACTTAACTAATGCTGATTGCTTTACCGCGCATCTAGTAATCCGATCTTAGGTTGATTTGAGCCTCGAAAGTGTTGTATCATTCGCCGGACATATTCTTTGGCAAGCTAGGTTTCTTAGACTGCGAAAGTTGATTTACTATAACCTAGTGAACTGTATCAGAACCTGCTCGATCTAAAGCTTGATTTAATCACCTAGGGACATACCAAAAGTTTAGCGACTAGGTAGATTAACAAAGGAACCGGAGCCTCGAAAGTGGAATGGTTTTATATTCGTGATCTGTGTTCTAGACGGTTTTAATATCCCAATATCCCTACATCAATTCATCTATCATTGTTTCATTGATCATTGCTTGCTTCTCTGCGATTAGCCCCTGTTGACCTAGCGCTTCTTCCTTATTGATTTACAACCTCGTTTACTTGCTAGTTTGTTACAATTACAACCTCCAATCATACTTTTGTTTTAGCTTGATCCAAAATCTATAGTTTCAAAGTGTACTCAATAGCCAGTCCTTGTGTTCGATACCCATACTTCCGCGATCTGTGCACTTGCAGAGGTCTAAAGAGTTTGGTAAAACCTGACTAACATCAGGTTTTTGGCGCCGTTGCCGGGGACTACAGCAGTACTTTTTTGTGTGTAAGTGAAAGATATGAATATGAAATGAGATGAGTGGAATGCAATCAGTGGTAAATGATGGTGGTAAGATGCAAACACAAACACAGTCAACAATTCCCTTTAACCATGATAGTTGTAGTACAAAGGGTTATCAATCCAAAATGGGAAACTTGTCACTCTATGAGAATATGAAACAACCAGGAAGTCAAGCAAGCAGTTATGATTTGAAGTAACACTAACAACCTAAAAATGAAAATGCAGTGCAATAAAAGTAAACAAAGCAGTGAAGTGTCAGCTCGACCAAGACTCGAGTCGAGTAGAGCAAAGTACCAGCTCGATCGAGTTTAGGGACGAGTTGAGACAAACAAAGCTAAAGGTGACGACTTTAACAAGAAAAGAGAGAATTAGGGTTCAAGACAGGGTTTTGCAATCAAAGGAATCTACACTTAATCAATCTAGCTCTTAAAACTCCTTGTATCAAGGCTTCTCTTGATATTGGGCTTCTCAATGCCTAGCCAACCCTTTCCCAAGGTGGAAGGCTATCAACCAAGGAATGATCTCAGAAACAGGGGGTTAGCCAGTGAGAATCAAACCTTGGAGGCATAGGATCATTGCCCAAACTAATCCATCCAACCCCTTAGACCTCTATTGTCTAGAGCAAGAGATATTGGAGCTCTTAGTGGATCTTTTCCAGCGAATGCCATCACTTCCGTGTGGGGATCGCCTAAGGACTTACAAGCCAGGGGTAGTGGTCATGTAGCCTTAAGATCTATCCAAAAGAGAGAGAATCTAGATTAAGACCATAAGCTAGAAGGATTAAGCATATGAAACCTCTAATCTATCCCATCTCAAACCCTAATGGGTAACTACTCACTACACATGAATGTAAACACAAGCAAATGCAATAAAAGAGACATCATAAGAAAGAGGAGATGAAATTAAACAACTTTTATTGAAATAAGCAAGTGCAAATACAAAGAGATTATCCAGGATCTAAGATTCAAGAAGCAAGAGCTTCAAGAACACAAAGATGGGATTAGTTCTAAAAAGTAAAGACAATAAATTAAAAGAAAGCTAAAACAAAATAATCTAAAGCTTGGTGGTTTTTTCGTGGCTTAGAGCCTTTAAATACAAGAGGATTAGGTTTAGGGTCAAAGGAAAGTCAAGGGGGAAGCAACATTTTTCGGGTTTGACTTTGACTTCCAGCTCGATCGAGTTGAAGCTTGGCCGGTCGAGTTGAGGAACTCGACCGGTTGGTCGAGTGGACGGTCGAGCTGGTCTTCAAGATGCTTCTCCCTTCTTCCTTTGCGTGTCCAGTTGAGCTGCTTCCATGTGCCAAGTCCCTCCATGCTCCTCATGTCCCATATGCTCCAGAATGCTCCAAAAGACCTATTTCAAAGGACCAAACATGCATATGTATGCAAATGCAACCTAAAACTAACATGAATGCATAAGAAGAGAAAAGGAACAAGATATGATGCAAATGGAAGCTAAAACTATGCAAAAGATGCATAAAAGATGTGCTAAAACTATGTAAAATGCAAGTACATCAATGGTTGAAGTCTCTGCCAGCTCACTCCATCACCACTTGGGATGAGTACAAGGCCGCTTTCATCAACCACTTCTACACCAAGCAAAGATCAGTTTCTGTAAGGAACAAGATCTCCAACTTTCGCCAAGCCACAATGAATCTTTCTATGAGGCGCTAGACCGATTCAAGGAGTACATTAGGGACTGCCCTAATCATGGTTTCAAGGAGGGAAACCTATGGAATATCTTCTATCGTGGCATAGACCACAAGTACAAGCTTTCATTGGATACTGCAAGCAATGGAAACTTCATGACCAAGACAATTGATGAAGCTAAGGTTCTTATTGAGAATCTTGCAGCTAGTGATTGTAACAATTGTCCTGATTATGATCGCTCAAGCCGCACCACTACTAGCTCCCCTGATGTTTCTCAAATGGCTGAACTCAAGAACATGATGGCTCAAGTTCTTAAGGGACAGCTCAAGCATATCAATGCAATAGAAGGGATGAGTGATGCGAATGAAGACCCATCAAGAGATGCATGGGAGATTTCTCTAATGAACTAATGAAGAAGATGTGAACTACATTGGAAACTATGGGAACAAGGGATACAATCCAAGCTATCGCCCAAACCCCAACATGTCTTATAGAAACCCCAATGTGGAGAACCCTCAAGACCAAGTGTATCCTCCAAGGTATCCACAACAACAAAGACCTCCTTACCAATCTCAAGGAAGTCAATTTCAGCCAAGACAAGGATATGAGCAGAGATCATCATATCCGCCCAAGGAGCCATATGCTTCTTCACCAAATCAAGCTCCTCCAAACCAACAAGGAGGAAGGTTTGAAGGAATCCTCCAACAGATCATGGATGGCCAGAAAAGGAATAGCAAAGAGATGTATGAGAAGATGGACACTTTGTTCAGCAATCTCAACACCAAGTATGATGCTGTTGCCACTCATGTGAAGAAACTAGAGACTCAAGTCACCCAAACCATGGAAGCTGTTAAGAGACAGGAAGCTGAATCCAAGAAGTCCTTTTGCAACTCAGCCGCCATAGAAGGAAAGATTTGAAGATCAAGTACCAGAATGGATGCTTTCAAAACCTACTGTTGATTGCATGATTTGGCCTGAAGAGATTACCCAGAGAAGGAGTCCAACCGAGCTAAGAAAAGGAGACTCTTCCCAAAGATCATCCCTAAGACTGAAAACTCAGGGAAGTTCGCTGTTCCTTGCATCATCAAAGGCACTATTCTCAAAGACTCTATGTGACACAGGAGCCAATGTGAATATAATGTCTAAGAGGATAGCAGACATGGTCGGCTTCACCAAGATTCAGCCATCATCCATCTCCATGAACTTGATATACCTCTATTTTACACTTTTTATACTGTTTTAGTATTGTTTTCTAATGGTTTTTGGCAGGTTTTCTATCTAAAAAGGTAGTTTTACTGTGTTTATAGTGTCTAGAGTCTAAACAGGTGAAATGATGCATTTTGGAGCAAAACCATAGGATTTGCACTTCAAGCGCTCCATGCACAAGCATCAACTTTAAGAGGGCCCAGAAAAAGATCTACTCAATGGATTTCATCAAGACCAGTTCCCTGCGTGCTCTGATTGAGTTAACTTTCCAACGCAACTGGAATGGCCTCATTTGGATGAGTAGAAAAGGAGTTACAACCAAAAGAGTGAAGACTGTCCAGACGGCTCTATCGAGAATCAGCGCCCAAACCGCGCAGTCCGGCTGGCCGAGAAACGATTGTTTCACGCTCGGCCAAATCACATCCGTCCGTCTGAAGTCTCGGCCAAAGTTCCAAACCTCGGCCGATCACGCATCACGACCCGGGAAACAGTCCCGCGGTCGGCCACGCCACAACCGCCACGCCACGCGCACACATGCCGCGCGAGCCGGGAAACAAGCCTCGCGGCCGCGCAACCTTCTCGCGTACCACGGCCGATGCGCCGTCCGAGCCGGGAAACGTCCCGCGTCCGGCCGAGAATTCATCGGCCAATCTTCATCCGTCCGACCACGGCCGACCACGAATCCGTCCGGCCACGACCGTTCCGACTACTAGGAGCCCATGACCCGATCATCCGGCCGATCGTCCCGACCGACCGTCCAACGCCGCGGTCGACCCGAAGCCCGTTTTGAAGCCCGTTTCACTTATTTTCAAGCCCGGCTTAACCCTAAGCCGCCTCTAAAGACCTAGCACTATATATATAGCTTTTTAGCCTCTTGTGAAAAGAGAGCCGCCCTTGTATTTCGATTTCCTACTCTAAGTTTTATTGCAATCATGTTTTCTTCATCTCTATGTGTGTTTGCTTTGATCATGTCTGAGTAATCCACTAGTTAGGTTGCTAGGGTTACTATTCAATGAGTTGCTTGCATGATCTTTGATTTCAATGATTAGCTAGGGATTATATAGAGTCTTTGTCTCGTCTTGTGCACTTAACTAATGCTGATTGCTTTACCGCGCATCTAGTAATCCGATCTTAGGTTGATTTGAGCCTCGACAGTGTTGTATCATTCGCCGGACATATTCTTTGACAAGCTAGGTTTCTTAGACTGCGAAAGTTGATCTACTATAATCTAGTGAACTGTATCAGAACCTATTCATTCTAAAGCTTGATTTAATCACCTAGGGACATACCAAAAGTTTAGCGACTAGGTAGATTAACAAAGGAGCCGGAGCCTCGAAAGTGGAATGGTTTTATATTCGTGATCTGTGTTCTAGACGGTTCTTAATATCCCAACATCCCTAATCAATTCATCTATCATTGTTTCATTGATCATTGCTTGCTTCTCTGCGATAGCCCCTATGACCTAGCGCTTTTCCTTTATTGTTTACAACCTCGTTATACTTGCTAGTTCGGTTCACCATTACAACCTCAATCATACTTTTGTTTTAGCTTGATCCAAAATCCATAGTTTCAAAGTACCATCCACCACTTCCTGCAAGGAATGACTATGAGATCAAGCCTCAGATCATTGCATTGGTTAGACAGAACCAATTCAATGGACTTCCAGCTGAGCATCCTCTTGATCACATAGAAAACTTTGAAGAAATTTGCAGCACTACAAGATCCAATGGAGTCTCTGCTGACTACCTTAAGTGCAAGCTCTTTTCATTCTCTCTTGGCGACAAAGCTTCAAGATGGTTGAAGTCTCTGCCAGCTCACTCCATCACCACTTGGGATGAGTACAAGGCTGCATTCATCAACCACTTCTACACCAAACAGAGATCAATTTCTGTGAGAAACAAGATCTCCACTTTCGCCAAGGCAACAATGAATCTTTCTATGAGGCGCTAGATCGATTCAAGGAGTACATTAGGGACTGCCCTAATCATGGTTTCAATGAGGGAAACCTATGGAACATCTTCTATCGTGGCATTGACCACAAGTACAAGCTTTCATTGGACACTGCAAGCAATGGAAACTTCATGACCAAGACTGTTGATGAAGCTAAGGTTCTTATTGAGAATCTTGCAGCTAGTGATTGTAACAACTGTCCTGATTATGACCGCTCAAGCCGCACCACTACTAGCTCCCCTGATTCTTTTCAAATGACTGAACTCAAGAACATGATGGCTCAAGTTCTTAAGGGACAGCTCAAGCATATCAATGCAATAGAAGGGATGAGTGATGCTAATGAAGATTCATCAAGAGAATGCATGGGAGATTTCTCTAATGAAGCCAATGAAGAAGATGTGAACTACATTGGAAACTATGGGAACAAGGGATACAATCCAAGCTATCGCCCAAACCCCAACATGTCTTATAGAAACCCCAATGTGGAGAATCCTCAAGACCAAGTGTATCCTCCAAGGTATCCACAACAACAAAGACCTCCTTACCAATCTCAAGGAAGTCAATTTCAGCCAAGGCAAGGATATGAGCAGAGATCATCATATCCGCCCAAGGAGCCATATGCTTCTTCACCAAATCAAGCTCCTCCAAACCAACAAGGTGGGAGATTTGAAGGAATCCTCCAACAGATCATGGATGGCCAGAAGAGAAACACTAAAGAGATGTATGAGAAGATGGACACTTTGTTCAGCAATCTCAACACCAAGTATGATGCTGTTGCCACTCATGTGAAGAAACTAGAGACTCAAGTCACTCAAACTATGGAAGCTGTTAAGAGACAGGAAGCTGAATCCAAGAAGTCCTTTTGCAACTCAGCCGCCATAGAAGAAAGATTTGAAGACCAAGTTCCAGAATGGATGCTTTCAAAACCTACTGTTGATTGCATGATTTGGCCTGAAGAGAATTACCCAGAGAGAGAGTCCAATCGAGCTAGAAAGAGAAGACTCTTCCCAAAGATTATCCCCAAGACAGATAACTCAGGAAAGTTTGTTGTGCCTTGTATCATCAAAGGTAACATTCTTGAGCAATCTTTGTGTGACACAGGAGCCAATGTGAACATCATGTCTAAGAGGATAGCTGACAAGATAGGCCTCACCAAGATAGAGCCATCATCCATCTCCATCAACTATGCTGATTCATTCTCACAAACCCCTATGGCTTTGTGCCTAATGTGATGGTGCAGATTGGAAATTGCTCTATCCCTACTGATTTCCAGATTGTGGAAATGAGAGAGAGTAGCCATAGACCTCTCATATTTGGAACCCCTTTCCTGTCTACTGTGGGTGCCATATTTGATTTCCCCAATCAAAGAATCTCTTTCAACAAGGTGAACAAGGGTATGTTCTTCCCTATGTGTTCAACAAAGAACTCTTTTGTTGACATGGTCCAAGAGGAGAAAGCTACTTTGAAGCCACCCCAAGAAGGAGAAACTGAAGAAACAATCAAGGAAGATCCCATTCCTAAGCCCAAGCAGCTTGCCAAACAAGCAAGGAGTAAGACTAAGGCCCCTACACCAAAACCGCCCAAGGGATCAACCAAGATTGAAGATGAGGCCAAGCCAAGAAGAAGGTTAGAAAACCTAGGTCTGGCCGCAACATGAAGCTTCTATTCCCAAAGGAGCTTATTGATGAGAATCTAGAAGGATTCAAGGAGAAAGTGACAAGAACTCTAAAGCTTTTTCCTAAGGCAGTAGTGCCAAGGGACATTCATGGAGAGATTGTCTATCCAGCTGTGAATCACCCACCAGATACTCATTGCAAGGAGAAAAGACTTGGAGGATCAAAGATGCCTCTTGTCTCCATCTTCTCCTGAGCGCCAAGCCTTACAGTCAAGCTAAAGACTTAAAACAAGCGCTGCATGGGAGGCAACCCATGAGGTACTTTTACTTTTCTTTCTTTAAATTTCTTAGTTTTTGTTTTGCTTTTGTGTTTTCTTTGTTTTAAGATAGGATAGAAGGAGAAAAAGGTGTGAAAACACAATCCGCGCCAAACATTGGCCGCGGACGCGCAAAAAATTTTGGCCGAGCAATTCCAACCGGGCCGACCGTCCGGTCGAGCCGGGAAGGAACGGCGTGCTCGGCCGGATGTTCTACGTTCGCGCGACAAAACCGCGCGGCACGGACGAACAGAGAAGACGGCTCCGCTCGGCCGGATTCTGTATCGGAACGGACCGACCGTTACGGTCGATCCGGGAAACAACAATCGGCCTCGGCCGAATCTCTCGTCCAAACGAATTTGGCCGACCAAATCGCTCGACCGCGACAAAATCTCATCGGCCATCGGCCCAAACTTTTCTCGGCCAAGGTACCCAATGGCAAAGACAAAAGGAAATGAGAGTATGAAGAAGAAGAAGAACCCATTCATGGAACCACCAAAGAAACAAATCAAGCTAGGGAGTAGTAGCTCCAATGCAAGAGCAGCAATACCAACTTCACCACATTCCATTGATGCAATCAAGAACATGTGGAGAGTCCAAGAAGGAGAAGATGATTGGGCACTTGTAACCTTTGTTGGAGAACAAATCCAAGACCCAAGAAAGTGTAAGAAGGCAATGGAGAAGGTGAACATCGAACCATGTGTGAAGATGGACACCCAAACCCTTGATCTTCTCAAGATAAGAGATGATGTCACATGGTACATAAGGAAGCTAGGCTTGAGCAAGCTCTTCAAGCTAGAGTGTAGTGAGTACTCAACTCACCAAGGAGTTCCTCTCCACAGTAGCTCTTGCCTTTCCCAACCACAATGGAGACCAACCAGCTGGTGATGGACTCCTACTCTTCAAGATAGGCGATGCCAATGGGCGCATCTCCATCTCAGCTCTATGCCAACTCTTTGGACTTCCCAATGAGACAGCACATGACTTCAAGGAGAACTCAAAGAGGAAACAAGCTGCCTTTGCTGATTGGACACACTTTGCCAATGAACCATTCTTGCCTTCAAGGTCAAAGGTGTCTAGAATCACTCATCCAGCCATTCGCTATGTGCACCGCCTCATCTCCACCACTTTCCAATGCAAACAAGAAGCCAACAAGGTCACAACTGATGAGTTCTACATCCTCACCACACCATTCATCAAGCATGAGTACAAGGCCAACCTTGGACTTTTACTTGCCAAGACATTCATCAATGTGAGGAAGCTAGCTAAAGACTTGGAAGGCAACAAGAAGCTTTGTGTTCGTTTTGGGAGGCTTATCACGGCCATAGTGCATGTGGGGATTGACATTCCCAACTATGAGCCACTACCCAAGCCAACCCCTTTGGATCTCCATGCTCTTCAGCACATCCACTTCCTAAACCGTTGGACTAAAGACCCAACTCGGTTTTGCTATGAGTTTCCAATTGGTCCAGCCAACACTTCCCTTGTCTTGCTGCCACATGAAGACATCCCAAGCCTACGCTCAGGAGTTGTCACTTTCCAGCCCAATGAGGAAGACTTCTATGTTCCATCAAGTGAGAAACCATCATTCCCCATGCTCACCTATCGCACACTTCAGCATGCAGTCAAGACTCAACGCCGCCACCAAGAACGCCATGTTCTCACTACTGGCATGGCCGCGCACCAAGCTCTAGACCGTGTTAACAAGCTGGAGAAGATAGTGGAATGCCAATCTCGCTTCATCTCACGCCTAGTCCGTGTAGTTCGCCACATTGCACCGGAGAGACTCTTTCGCCCTTCTTCCACCGCTAGAGAGCCATATGAGCCTGACCTTGGTGAGTTCTCACTAGACTCAGAGCTTGGTTCAGAAGGCGATGACCCCATAGATGAGGAAGAGAGTTCTTCTCACTGCCACACATAGTCATCTCAAGTGGTACTTAGTGCAATGGACACTTACAAATCTCCATTTTCTATCCCTATCTCATTTTAATGAATTTTTCTTTATTTTTCTTTTACTTTGAATATTACCTCTCACCTTAATGTGATTTGCTTTCACCGGGACGGTGCAAGTTAAGTCTGGGGGGAGTTTTATTGTGTTACTAATGCATTTTTCTTTCTTTTCTTATGTTTTATTCACTTTGTTTCATGTTTTTCAAAAAGTTTTATTGAGTCAAAAACCAGTCCGGAAGTTATGAACTTGCTTTGAGAATTGAGAGTGTTATGCTAACAATCCATGACCCTAGAGCAGAAACCAGCTAAAGGCACAAGCCTAACAGAAGCTCTTACAGTGGATCGACATGCTAGCTCAGCAAAATTTCTAAGGTAACCAAGCAATCTAGAGTTAACCTCACCCTTAATCAATCTTAATACTCTTGTCAAGGGGGTTGGCATACATGTCGACAGTTCCTTGCTTGATTTTCAATAAGATTTGTCTAATCTTTAAAGAGTTCTCCTCTCTCTCCCATCCCAAATGGTAAGTAATGTTTATGAGAAAAAGCTCAAAGAGCACAAGGAAAACAAGTAAGCATGAGGAATGCATATGTCTGTACCTTCATGTCTTATGGAATACCTTAGTCAAACAAGGAACAAGCTAAAGACTTATCCTGTGGTTGAAAGAAGGGTCAATAGAAAAAATAAAATGATACCCTAGAAAAGTAGGGAGAAATTGACCTTTCAAAGTTCTGATGTGAGAAAGAGAGAGGAAAAGAACTCATTGCACTTAAAGACAATCTTGGAGAAGATCAAGTGGGTAAGAACAAGTTCAATTGATCGATGTCCCCTTGATAAAGAATTCACGCTTTAAATTTATGCAAGAGGTTAGCAATAGAGAGTTTGGATTGCTGGATGAGACTAGTTGGGTTGGTATTGTTCGCTAAACTTGCAGGGTGTATGTGAAGCTAACCTTATGTTGTCTATGTTCATAGTGGAATACAGGAAAGGAACCTTTCACAGGATATTCAAAAGAGCAAGGGAGTTTCCACGTTTTCAAACCTCTTTCACGGATTTAGATTCTTTTTGCTTGGGGACAAGCAAAGATCTAAGTCTGGGGGAGTTGATATTTAAAGAGTCCCTGACTTACTAAACTCTTTTCTCCCAATTTTACCACTTTTTTGGTTTTGACACCCAACTCGATCGAGCTCGAGTTGGCACCCCCAAACTTAGCCTGAAAACAATCCCAAGAGAACTAGATAACTAGAACTACTGCCCCTGCCGGTTTAAACACAACACCTTATGCTAAGCAAAGCCAAGAAGGTTCTCACAATCGCACAAGAGATAATATGGGGTTTGAAATGAAAAGGCTTAGGTTTAAGGTGTGGTAACTGTCTCAAAGATGGAGATCAGCTATCTGGACAAGCAAGAGGGATATGAAAATGGTAAAGAATGTCCAGATATGTATGTGGTAGCCATGAGTTGAAATCAAATGCAAGCATTGGTAATTAAAGATCAAGTTATGGTTCAAATAGATAGGGAAATGCATCAAATCACAGCAATGGTTGAATGAGATGTGCATGCAGTGATATGATCAAGATAAACATGGTTCTTGTTGCTCAATCAATCTCACCCTAATGCACAAAAGAATCTAGAAATAGGGCACTCAAGAAATCGCAAATGATGAACAAGTTTTCAAATCAAATCAACAATGCAGAACTAAAACAGAGAAAATGATGCAATCCTAAACAATTCTAACAAATATGAATGCAAAAAGATGAAAATATTTTTGGATTTTTTTGAAAATTTTATGATTTTTTTGGTTTTTTCTATGCAAATAAAGAATGAAAAACTAAGAACAAAGAAAACAAGGTTAAATCATCTCTTGAACCCTCCCCCAAACTTAAATCACACAGTCCCTTGCTAAAACCAGCTGTAAGGGTTCCAGTTTCTCTGTGGGTAGTCTTGGTAGAGTGTCGGGTCATACTCAAATCCAGGTCTGCTCGACCATCAGCTCGACCGAGTTGAGTTTCCTCTGTTTGGACTGGATCGAGTCCGGTGGTCGAGTTGGAGCGTCTGGCCTTAGAGCTCTTCCTCCTTCTCTGTGTGTTGTCTCCTTCTTCTCTTGGTTCAAATGAGGAGGCTCTGTGAGGCTCTTGGGCAGGAAGCCTCCTTGGAGTGGTGATGAGAGATCTACTCCTAGGGAATGTAGGAGCCATGGGTGTCTTCTTCTTCTTAGATGAAGAACCAGAGACCTTCTTCTCCAAATTTTTGATATTTCTCACCATCTTGTCCATGGACTTCTGCATCTTTTCCATGGCTTTCCCTTGCCACTTGTTGAGCTTTTGGAGAAGCCCAATCCTCTTGTGAGCAGCCACAACAGATGGGTTCATCCTTGGAGCTTCATACTCCTCAAAATAGTAGCACTCAGGCTCACCCAACTCTTCATTAAAAAGGGCTCGATTTGGCTCTAGAGAATGGTCTTGATCTCCCCTTGTACCTTATCTTGTACTCAATCTTCTCATCTTCATACTTGGTGGGGAACAAGGTCATAGTGAGCTGAGATGGCTTGACTGAAGGGCCTGAACTGGTGGATCCTTTCTCTTATCACATGGTCTTGCCTTAGAGGCTACATCCTCCCCTTCCTTTAGAGCCCTTACTAGTGGCTCATCAAACAAAGCTTGAAGGCTCTCTTCATCAAGCACAAAAGGAGCTTGAACAAGTCTATCAGCTCGTGGCCTATCAGAACGTGGCCTCTCGAGGCGTGGTTTCTCAATCCTTGTTCCCTTATCAACTCATTTGTCCTTCTCAACCTTATCCTTCACAAGTCTTGGTTGTTTTTCAACCTTCTCCTTGACAACCTTAGCAACATCAGGACTCTTGGATCTCAGAGGATTGCTTTCAATGGCACCACAATACTCTGATCCTCTAGGCTGTAGGCGATAAGACACCAAACTATTCACCTTGTGTAGAATCACTTCTTGCTTGTGAAAATCAATGGAGGCTCCAACTGTGCTAAGGAAAGGGGTTCCCAATAGCAGAGGTAGATCCTTCTCTTCTTCCATCTCCATGACAGTAAGATCAGTTTGGATGATGCATTCACTACAGGAAATGTGGGTATTGATAGCATAGTAAGATAGCGTTTTTTATGTATATGCTATGTTTGACTGAATCGTGATTTAAAGATAGCGTTTCGTGTATTGTAAACGCTAAAAATTATTTAAGCGGGATAATGAAATTGACGCTATTGAAAATGGTAAGAGGGAAAAAAGTGAAATTTTGGCTAAGGCAAAATAAAAGAAAACCGTAAAAATCCCTTCTCATTTTTTTGCCTAAGGCAAAATCATATCAGATCGAGAACGTCTCTCTTGCGATATCACTCAATTTCTTGAGATATTAAGCTCAAAATCTGCAACTCTCACTCGATTTGTCTCAATCTCACTCGCTTTCTCAGTCTCTCCCTCTTATTCACACTTTATCTCACTCGATTTCTCACTGTGTCAGCTTGATTTCTCAGTCTCTCAACTCGATTTCTCATAATCTCCCTGGAATCTTTAATAGGTATGTTCTCATTCAATCATAGCTTGTTTGTTCGTTGGAATGGAAAACCGTTTTGATTTGGTGTTTCGATTCTTGGGCTGTGTGAACATTGATGCGGAAGTTTGTGATTTTGGGTATCGATTTTGATTTTGGGTTTTGATTCTTAGTTTCAGTGAACATGCATGTCGAATTTTGGCACATTTCTTGTTTCAATTTTGATTTTCTGTTTCGATTATGATTTTTGGGTTTCGATTTTATGTTGACTGAAATTGTTCTTCATTTATCACTTTCAGAAATGGCGAAGACAAGAGGAGGAGGTCAAGTTGGTTCTCGTCGTAGTAGACGTAACCAAGGCTTGGAGGTAGAAGAGATAACACCACAAGTTGCTCCAGCAACAACACTAAAGGTGAATAAGAAAAGAAAAGCAAAGAAAGTGGCTACGAGCAGTAGTACTAGAAACAAGAAAGTGGCTGCTCAAGATGATGAGGTAGAAGATATTACACCGCAAGATAATGTGGTTGAAGATGTAATACCGCAAGATGATGCTGTTGACAATGTAACACCATCATCTATGGAGGCTGATCAGACTGAGAAAGCAATGTCTGAAAATGAGAAAGAAGATTCTGAGATAGAAGGAGAAGCTTGTTTGACTGGACAAGAACAGCAGGAGGATGAAGAAGAAGCTCCGAATATGGACGAAGCTATTGAGATGTGTTGGCAATGGTCAAGATAATGCGATTCCTAGCAACACTGATGAAGGAAGTCAGGTACCGGAGGAAAGAGTGAAAGAAAGAAAAAAACGAGGACCAACAAAGATGCGTAAAGTGGCTGAAAATCCTAATGAAAAGGTTTCAGTTACTTTCAACGACTTTGGTGATCATGTTGGATCTGGTTCAATAACATTATCATCTTTTCTTGGTGTCCTTGTGAGGGAACACGTCCCGGTTACAATTTCTGATTGGAGAAAAGTTGATACAATGACTAAACAAGAAATGTGGGAAGAAATTCAGGTATATATTTATATGCAACTATTTTTTGTTGAACAGATATGAAACATGTTTGACCTTTGCTTGTTGTACGTGATGCAGGGGAGGTTTAACTTGCAAGAAAAATGGCAGAGAGTTGTTATTTTCAAGCAAATGGGAAATATCTGGAGGGGTTGGAAGTCAAGGCTATTGTCAGACGTACGTGCTGCGAAGACTGTTGCTCAGAGAATAGATTTAAAACCCAGCAACATTCCATCCATTCAAGTGTGGAACTCTTGGGTTAGGAGCAAGACTAACGCAGCTTTCATGGTTAGTTATCTACAACTAAGTAACTTTCTTGTTTATATGTCATGTCTGATAGATTTAATCACATTGATATTTATAATGTAGGAAATAAGTGACAAGTACAGGAAGATGAGACAAAATCAGATTCCTCACACCACCAGCCGCAAAGGAATGCTTCGTTTAGCTGATGATATGGTAATAATAGTTGTCAAATATCTATATATGTATATATATATATTGTATATTTTGTTAGAATAAAATGGTACTGAGATATGTATGTACTTTGTATAGAAAAAAAAGAGTAAAGACCCAAGTAAGGTGACTAGGAGTAAGGTATCGATTGCGGGACACACTCATGCTGATGGTAGACCTGTGAAGCCTCAATTTGCCGAGACTATTGTAAGAATTCTGGAACTTGTGATATTGTGTATAGTTACTGGATTAGGATCAATGAGTTTTATTGTGTTTAAATGTTTGTATCAGGAACAAATACAATCACTTGATAGTGAAATGGACTCTACATCAGCTGCTGATAACATAAGGGAAGATGCTGTGAGCAAGATTTTGGGAAAAGACAAACCTGGACGAGTAAGGGGCTTTGGTAGAGGGATTACGGCTACTAAGTTAGCATTTCTGCAATCTAGAGACGCAAAGATGGCAGAAATGAAAAGTGAGATTGAAGAGTTAAAGGGCATTGTCCGAGACTTAGCTGGAAAGAAGGTAATCCATTTCATTACATTTGGTGAATTGGTTTGGTTTGAAGACAATTACGAATTCCTTTTCCTAATTTTAGACAAGTAATGGTGATTCTGAAGCATCTGAGAGTATTGGTGGATTCAAAGAAGGAGTTAGAGTAGAAATATTGGATTGGATTCAATCAGGAGATGTAGTTGTTGGTGAAGGGGAATTCCGTTATGCTGAACCGATGTACAAAATTGGTCGTATACCAATTGGTCCTAATGCAATGGCTGTCCTTGTTAAGTCTGCACTAAGCTCAGAAGCTTCTCTCTGGAGGCCTACAACAGATGTGTTATATCTTGAGGAAGCTGTGGGATGCAAAATACCTTGGCCAATGGACAAGGTGCTTTTGTATAAGGATCCAGTCGCTTCTGAAAATGTATCCATGGTAAAGTTTTTCAATCTTTCATTGATATTTCTTGTGGTGAAGTGATATATCTCTAATCTTTAGCTTCTTACATTTTAGCAAAACAAGGAAGGTGAAACTCGAAGATGCAAAATATATGATTGGACTAATAAAGACGATGAGGTTATTGCTGAAGGTGTTGTGTGCTCATCTAACTCCAAAGAGAAGGTTAACAATATACCTCTAGGTCCAAGTGCTGTTTGTATTGAAGTTGTGAAGGTGTTCAATGATAATGCTCATTTGTGGAGGCCAACTACTGATAGTAGTTTAATTGGTGATGCAATTAACGAGAAAATCGCATGGCCAGTCCTAAAGATTGACGTCACGGCTGCAACCACTACAGATGCAACACTACCTAAAGCCCAGGTATGTTACTGAAATTAAGTTATATCATTTTTGCACCTTTGATTGATGTTGGAACTTTCATTGATGTTGAAACTTGCTTCTATTATTTTCTTTGAGTTGTAGAGTCCATGCAGCAATAGTTCCACCAAAAGTCCAAAGCAGAAGTGTTTTCTTTTAGATTGCAGCAACTCTGGCCGTAAGGTAGCTGAAGGAAGAGTAGTTTCAACAGATCCGAACGACTTGTGCCATCATGTACCTCTAGGTCCAAATGCAAGCAAGGTCTGGGTTGAAGTGGCTAAGATTGGTAATGCAAAGGTTTGGAGGCCAAATTCAGAGATTGAATAAATTTCTGATGCCATAGGTTCAATTGTAGCATGGCCAAATGATAAAATAAAGTTTGTGTGAAATTTAGACAATTGTCGGTATTGCTGAAACGGTTATTGTGTTTTGGTATTGTAATGAAGTTTTATTCTGGTTAATGATAAAACTTGGTATTGTTTGTCTAATTTCTCTCAAATGCTCATAATTATCAATGTTGCTAATTGTTGGAATTTGATTTTGAAAGATGGACATCAATTTAGAGTTTCGAGATTAATTGTGAAATCATGGCTAATTAAACTGGTGCTGGAAATTTGTATTGTTGTGCCTAAACCCTAAACCTCAAACATTGTAGTTAAAACTCTAAACCTCAAACAGAAAGTTAAAACTCTAAACCTCAAACCGAAAGTTAAAACTCTAAACCTCAAACAGAAAGTTAAAATTCTAAATCCTTAAGTATAAAACATAAACACTAAAGTAAAAAAAAAATATAAACCCCAAAGTTTAAACCCTATACCCTAAACTAAGCCTTAGTGTTTATGAACATATAACTTAGATAGTTGGTATACTAACTTATATTAATTTTTTTTAATTTTAAAATTTTATATTTATAAGAAATAATATTCTAAAATTGAAATAGTTATATTGATAATTTAAAAAAAAAAATTATATTTTTTCATTAATAACATATTTTATATACTAATTTTCTGATTTTAAACGAAAAAACAACTATTAGCCAATGAGAAGTAACCTCCAAGATTGCAATATAGGCGAAATCTACACCGTTGATCTGTCTCGCTAATTTGATCTGATCATTGTTCTAAGCCAATGGTGACTAACCTCCGAGATTGCAAGGTCATTGAACCTAGACCGTTTGATTCGTTTCACTAATTTTGATCCGAGCCGTTCATTTTTGTTATGTGATTTCGCGGTGAAAAGAACATATAAAAATTTCAGAACACAACTCATCTTTAGGGTTTACCAAAAATTCCCCCAAATTGATTTGAGTTCAGCAAATCGTTTCAGAACGGATCCATCTCCATCGTTACCAAATGGATAAGACGTGGATTTCGCTGCCAAGGGATACACTAAATTCTATGGAGCTTACTTATATTAATCGATTGAAAGAAATCTAAATTATTTTCCAATTTACAATGTAGGAATAGTATCGAGTACTTAGAAGGAGCAACGAAATTCGCCAATTCATCAGCAAGAAGATTGGGCAATCTGTCTGAAATGCTATGCCCATGTAGAGATTGCCGCAATTTATGCCATCAGTCGGTAGAGGAAATTGTTGAGCATCTAGTGATAAGGGGTATGGATAAGAAGTATAAGACTTCTTGTTGGAGTATTCATGGTGAAAAAAGAGCATCTACAGAAGACAGTGGTCGTCGACATGAAACAGAGGCATTTGAGTTGTTTAAGACAGCATTCTCTATGAATGAAGGTGAACCAAATCAGACGAATGGTAATGAAGCATTAGAGGCAAACGACGATGAAGCAGTAGAGGAAACTCAGTTTAAGAAAAAGTTAAGAGAAGCTGAAACTCCATTGTACTCTGATTTTATCAAATACACAAAGGTTTCAGCAATTATGGGACTTTACAGATTCAAGGTTAAGAGTGGTGTGTCAGAGAACTACTTTGATCAGCTGTTGGATTTAATAAAGGACATACTACCTGAAGACAATGTACTTCCGAAGAGTTTAGCTACAATCAAAAAAATTCTGAAGATATTTGGTTTCGGATACCAAAGTATTCATGCTTGCAAGAATGATTGCATTCTATATAGGAAGGAGTTTGAGAAGTTAGATAGCTGTCCAAGATGCAAAGTTTCAAGATGGGAAAAGGATAAGCACAGTAATGAGATAAAGGTTGGGATTCCAACAAAGGTCCTTAGATATTTTCCAATCAAGGACAGATTTAGGAGGATGTTTAGATCAAACAAGATGGCTGAAGATTTGCGGTGGCACTATACCAATGGCACTGAAGATGGTACAATGTGACACCCGGTTGATTCTATATCTTGGGCACAAGTGAATGCTAAATGGCCAGACTTTTCTGCTGAACCAAGGAATCTTCGCCTTGGGATTTCTACAGATGGGATGAACCCTTTCTCCATGCAAAACACCAATCACAGCACATGGCCAGTGTTGTTGGTGAACTATAACACGCCTCCGACTATGTGTATGAAGGCTGAGAATATAATGTTGACTTTGTAGATCCCTGGTCCAACAGCTCCTGGTAATAACATAGATGTTTACTTGGCTCCACTGATAGACGATCTAAAAGATTTGTGGGCTGAGGGTATTGAAGTCTATGACTCATTTGCGAAGGAGAATTTCACACTTAGAGCCATGCTGCTTTGGAGTATCAGTGACTATCCAGCCTTAGGAACATTGTCTGGATGTAAAGTGAAGGGGAAACAAGCCTGCAATGTATGTGGAAAGGATACACCTTCCAGATGGCTTAAGTTTAGCCGTAAGTTTGTCTATATGGGGAACAGAAAGAGACTGCCGCCGGGCCATCGTTACAGATATAAAAAAGCTTGGTTTGACAACACTGTTGAGGAAGGGAATGCCAAAAGGATACAAACTGGCGATGAAATATATCAGACACTTCAAGCTTTTAGGAATGATTTTGGAAAACCTCTAGACAAGGAAAATAAAAGAAAAAGAGCTGAGTTGGAAGATGATGAGGTGGTTCAAGAAGAAGAGTGTGAAGAATCGAATGATCTATGGCGGTGGAAGAAGAGATCAATATTCTTTGAACTACCTTACTGGAAGGTAAAGTAAAGTAATTGAACTATATTCTCTTATTGTTGGATCTGAATAAGCCTAACAGTTTCTTTTTTAATGTGTTAGGATTTGCCTGTTCGTCACAATATTGATGTTATGCATGTAGAAAAAAATGTGTCGGATGCTATATTGTCTATCTTGATGCAAAGTGCTAAGTCAAAGGATGGTTTGAAAGCAAGAAAAGACTTAGAAGATATTGGAATCAGAAATCACTTGCACACAGAGGTCAGGGGAAAGAAAACATACTTACCTCAGCAGCCTATTGGTTATCCAAGAAAGAGAAGACCATTTTCTGCCAAAGGTTATCTAAGTTTAGAGGTCCTGATGGTTATTGTGGAAATATTGCGAATAGTGTTTCAGTTAACCCTCCAAATATAGGTAGTTTAAAGTCGCATGATCATCATGTCCTAGTCCAGAACTTGTTACCGGCTGCATTAAGAGGGTTGCTACATAAGGGTCCTAGGATTGCCATAAGTAGATTATGCAGTTACTTCAACAGGTTGTGTCAGTGCATCATCGACCCAGAGAAACTTATGACAATGGAGACAGAGTTTGTGGAAACAATGTGTCAACTGGAGCGCTTCTTCCCTCCTTCCCTTTTTGATATCATGTTCCACCTTCCAATACATCTATCAAAAGAGGCACGTTTGGGAGGACCAGTCCACTTCCGCTGGATGTATCCCTTCGAAAGGTTTGATGTACTCATTTGCTTCAATATATGTATTTCCTGCAATTATGTTCAACTAATATTCATTTCTTGACTGAGTGATAGGTACATGAAAACATTTAAGGCTTTTGTTAAGAATCATGCAAGGCCAGAAGCATGTATGGCTGAGGGGTATTTAGCTGGAGAATGCGTTGCATTTTGTTTAGAGTTCCTTAAAGATTCAGTACCAGTTCAAGAAACAGTTAACCGCAATGAAGATATTGAGGCTGATAGAAGCGTGATTGAAGGTCGACCTCTGCAGAAGGGTATAGAAGTTACTCTATCAGATAAAGATAGAGACACTGCACATCGCTATGTGCTAATGAACATGGCATCTTTGAATCCTTATGTCGAGTAAGAGGTTACGCTTTATGTTTCATCTACTAATTATTATTATAATTTCATTCTCAAAATTGATGTGTTAATGTAAAATCAGGAAGCATTTGGAAGAATTACAAGCTAATGATGCTCGATGTGCTAAAAATGAAACTTTGTTGTGGAAAAACCATACTGAGCAGTTTGCACAATGGCTTAAAATAAAGGTTTCCAGATGCAACTTGTCTTCTTGATTATTTGTTATACAGCTTGTTAAATAGACTGATTAGCTTGTTAGCTTCGTGATGATATTTTGCTTGATGACTGGTTAGCTTATCTTGTAGCTTGATTACTGGTTTTCTTGGAACGGATTGTTAGCTTATCTTGTAGCTTGATGAATGGTTTTCTTGGCACAGATTGTTAGCTTCATATATGCTCATGTTTTGCTTAATGACTGGTTAGCTTAGCTTGTAGCTTGATGACTGGTTTTCCGCAATGAATTGTTAGCTAGCTTCATGATCATGTTTTGCTTAGTGACTGGTTAGCTTAGGTTGTATCTTGATGACTGGTCATTTTAGTACTTCAGCTTGATGATGAAGTTCTGATTTTACTGTGGCAGATTCATTCAGACTCAACAAATAGTCATTCTAAAGAGATAAGGTGGTTGGCATTTGGACCAAGAAATGTTGTTGTAGCACATAAAGGATTTATCGTTAATGGGCAACGGTTTCATACAGATGCGGTTAAGCGGAAGACACAAAACAGTGGAGTAACTTATGAAGCATTTAGCATGTGTAGATCAAGTGCTCGAGATATGAGACAAGTCACTGATATACTTACATATTATGGAGTGATAAAGGAGATTTTACTTATGGACTATCACATGTTCAAAGTGCCGCTGTTTAGATGCAATTGGGCCAACACAGGGAATGGTGTGAAGGAGGAAGATGGTTTCACTCTTGTCAACCTTCATATGAACCAAACAGCCTATTTGAAAGATCCATTCATTCTACCTTCTCAAGCAAAACAGGTTTTCTACTCTAGGGAAGATGATAATTCAAATTGGTATGTTGTTATGAGAGAACCACCTAGAGGCTATCATGAGTTGGAAACAGAAGAGAATTTAAGTGGTGCACCTTTGCCTATCCAAGAACTCGATGATTTGGATGATGAAGCTTGTGATAATGATAGTGTTTATGTTAGGGATGATTGTGAAGGCTTGTTAGTGGTAGATTGATAGGTGTTTGTGGTTTTTGTCAACAATAAAATTTGTTATGGTTTTCGAAACATTTGAATATTTATATATTTTGTATTAATTTAAATTTAAAAACAAAATAATAACACGAAACATTTGCTATCTTTGCTATCCGTAAATTCAAATTAATGAGTTTTAATAACATTTGGATAACGTTATTATAAATATTAACAATTGCACAGCAGACAACGCTATCGTTGTATAGTTATCTATAGCACACCAAAAATCCGCTATTAAAAGTGTCTGACCTACTATAACGGGCGATGTCAGAGTATTTTAGGAAACGCTATATTTTTGAACTCATAGCGTTTAACGGCCGCTATTAATACCCACATTTCCTGTAGTGATTCTCCTATTTTCAAGTGATAGTTCTTGAACACAAAATAGGAGACTTTGAAGTAGCATCTCCAAACATGATTGAAGTAGTAGGGCGCTGCAATGCTCCAGCAATGCCAATCTTTTCTGCCATTGTGAGTGAGATGAGGTTGATGCTTGCACCAGAATCCACCAAGGCATTGTCAAGCTCAATATGCCCAAGTGTGCAAGGGAGAGTGAACTTCCCTTGATCCTTCACCTTTGGTAAGAAAGTGGGTCAGGTAAGCAGGTTGATTTGGTGAGTAGATATCTCCAGAAGCTCAGAAACCTTGTCCTTGTGAGCCATAACATCTTGAATCAACTTCATTTGCTCAAAGGCTTCACTCATGCTTTCCATAGAAGGCAACTCAACTCCAATCTCGCTTAGGTCTCTTCTGAACTTGTAAATCACTTCCTTATGGCTTTGACTGAGTAGGCGGCTGGATGATGTGTCAACTGGCTGGTAAGGATCAAGCAAAATCGGCTTGATGATAGATGAGGTCTGACTCGATCGAGCTAAATTTCGACTCGATCGAGCTGCCGATGGAGCTTGTTGTGCAAGCTCAACTGGTGAAGTTTGAAAGGCTACAGTAGGTGCTTGCATTTCAGGTTGATCAATCTGGACTCCAAGAGCCTCAACAACAACAATCTCTTCGTCATTCAGCAGCAAACAATACTCTTCCATGACTCTCTCTTGATCCTCTTCTTCATCAAGCCTTCTTGAGTGAAAATGACCTTGCACTGTTCCTTGGGGTTCTGAATGGCTTTACCAGGTAGTTTCCTTGCTTTGTAGAACAGCAACAGAAGAAGCATGATTCTCCAGAGAGTACACTCTTGTGTTGAGATTCTCAATCTTGGAGTTAATTTCAGCTAGCTTCTTACTTGTGTCCACAACACCATCAGCTTGCCCTTGTAGCAATTGTTTCAACATGGCCTTGAAGCAAGCAAGAGAGAGTATATGTTTTTCTTTCAAGCTCAGTTGTAGGTGCAGGCTGGGGTGGTTGGTGGGGAAAGCCAGGTGGTATGTGCATTTGCTGACCAGGAAAAGTCCCTTGGGGGCCTTGGTAATTGTTCTTAGGACCATACCCATGTTGTGGGGCTTGACTCGATCGAGCTTGCTGTTGTTGGGGATAGACCTGGTCATGAGGGTTAGCAACATCAGTGTTTCTGTAAGACATGGCTGGGTTGGACTTCTAATTATAGTATCCTTTGTTGTAACCTCCTTGCCCATTGCTCATGTAGCACACTTCAGCAATTGTGTATCCTCCCCTTCTTGACTGGTTCCATCTCTTCAGCAGACACAAAATTGACTTCTTCATTGTGGACTGAGC